GTTCAACACACACACACACACACACACACACACACACACACACACACACACACACACACACACACTCTTTGTGTGAAGGGAGGGTTGGGATGAGATCATCAAACTCATAAAGTGGCGCCGTACGCCTGGCACTGAGCCAGGAACACACACACACACACACACACACACACACACCCCCGCTGAGTTACGGTACGAGGTGTGTCGACAGCATAATTAGGGCTGACTGACGGCACATTAGACCCCCCCGCCCCCCTCTTGTTTCTGGTCTCTGATTGGTCCGTTTGGTCACATGACCTCTCAGCTGAACCCTCACATGATTCAGGGCAGATCCTCCGGCCTCTGGCGCCCCCTGCTGAGCTGTCTGAGAGGAGGTCAGACCTGCACCATCAGCAGACTGGGGGGTAGGCTGGGGGGTCGGATAGAGAGCTGAACCAGGAACCAGGAGAGTCTGAGGAGAACGGGGGAGGACCATCAGAACCATCAGAACCATCAGGACCATCAGAACCACAGACTGGATCAAACACAGACGGTAGGAAAGACGAACTCACCAGAACCTCCTCTGATCAGACCATCAGGAGGTCCCTGTGGCTCCGCCCCTTTCACAGTTTTAGAGCCCTGTTAGAAGTGGGCGGGGCCTGGACCTCCTTGGCCCCTCCCTCTGACTTCCCCTTCAGAATCATCTGGACTCTGTCCTTCCCCCTAAATATTAAAGGACGCAGCAGCGAGTTCAGCAGCTGTAGTACTTCAGCTCGTCCAGCAGGTGGCTCCATCTTCAGGCTGATGCACCGACAGTCCTGCTGGTTTCCTGTCGGCAGTTTATTTATTGATCGTCCTGCTGTTTTCTGAACCTCAGCGGAGAGAAGAATCTGTAATGCATATCTCTAAGTGCACGCAAAGCATGCTGGGAGTTATCTGTGGGTTTATTTATATGTCCACAAACAGAGCGTCCTGTCCTGCTGCTTTAAAGGGTCCTGAGGTTAAATTCCAGGATCTGCTCCTGATGGTTAAACAGACGGTAAATCCAGACTCTGCTCGTCGACTGTTTCTCCTCCTTTGTTCACTCAGATTCAGTCGTTTCCGTCGACCTGCAGGTATTTCCTCTCAGCCTACAAAGAAACGCAGAGACCATCTGTCCTCTCTCTCTTTGTCTCCCTCTCTCTCTCTCTCTCTCTCTCTTTGTCTCCCTCTCTCTCTCTTTGTCTCTCTCTCTCTCTCTCTCTCCTGTATGGACTGACTGACTGATGTTTCGTTCGTTAACTCGTGTTTGTTTCCTCAGACAGATTTATTTACTTCCTACAGCCGAGGTTCTGACAGCCTCCACTGATTAAAGGGTCAGGCGGCAGAAGTTACCCGTCACTAGGATTTTAGCCACAGTGGATGTCGGTTAGCTCCGCCCCTTTAATGACAAACTACTGAGCTAGGCTACAGTTCTCTGCAGATGACTCTGATGCTCAGTCACCTGGTTCTCATGATCCTGGTCTTGGTTATCCAGTTCTTCATTAAAGAGGCGAAACGTCAAGAACCTCGAGTCCAGGATTGGACTTCTTAAAGACACGCGAGTCATCCAGCTCACTCTAAAAACACCGAACTATCCCTTTAAATCGAGCTCACTGTCTCATTAAAAAGCGGCCGAGACTTTCAAGTAAAAAAATCGTTTATTATTCATGAAGCAGAAGCAGCTCGTTACATTTTAAAAGTGTTATAAAAAATTACAACAAAGTTTTTTAACGTTTAAATATCTGAAAACTGAACGTTCACAGCTGCCGTTCGACTCCCTCAGAGTCTGTCCCTCTGTCCACGACAGCATCACTAAAGGAGCAGTCCCATGTTTTTAGAAATCCTCTCATCAGCGCTGAGATTAACTTGTTAGTCAACCAGCTAGTTAAAAAAAGTCACCAGATCCTCAGAGCTGTGAGTCCAACACCTCCTGCCGGGCGGTGGAGTTCAAAAGCTCGGTTATGCTAACATCATCACTCATGGAGATGGTTTTTCTTTGCTTTTGATGGACCAGGTCTAAAGTTTCCATCTGCTGAGCTGGACTGACAGAGTCTGAATGCTGGACTGTGGAGGGTTCACTAAAACCTCGGACTGGATCTTTAAGGGCGAAGATCGTCAAGTTTCAAACAGAAACGTTTCTCCACATTCAGAGATAAAACATTCAAAAGTGATTTTTACATCTGTGGAGCAAAATTCATGAACTCAGATTTTATTTATTTTATTCTTATAAGAAAGAAAACGTCCCTCTTTGATCTAAGTCAGATTTGCATAAACGCTACTTTTAATTCTAACGATTAAAACATTCAACATTTAAAATTTAACTTTAAACACTGAAATTAAAATTAAACATTTGGATTCAACACTCAGATTTACTGTGTGTGAATATTTAACACTCAGATTTACTGTGAAGATTTTTAGTACAGATATAAATTCATGTCCAACATTAAGATTTAACTTTTAACACCAAAATAAAAATTAAACATTTAGATTTGACGTTAAACATTATTTTCATTAGAAACTAAACTCATATCTAACGTTCAACACCTGATTAGAAATTTATCATCTACATCTAAATTTTAAATTAAGTAGATAATTAATTTTTACATTCAGATTTAAAAATATACTGTTAATAATTCAGATTTAACATTTATTATTTTTTCAAAAATGGTAAATTTTCAATCAAAATGTTAAAATTTTTATCTATAATCTCAAATTTAGATGAAACATTTAACGAATAAATTTAACATTTATGATACAAGAAGGTTCTACATTTAATTTTAATAGTTTATTTTTCATTATTACATTTTTGACATCTAATATTTACCTTTAATATAAACCAACAGATATTTGGATTTGATTGTAAGATTCATGATTTAATATTCAACATTAAGATTCAACATTCGGTCAAAGAGTTTAAAGTCAGATTAAAACTGAACAACAATAAACATCAAATTTCAGATTTTACATTTTTTTCCATTAATTCATATTTCTATCAAAAACATTTTGACTTTGTGACCCGAGAAAAGTCTACAAATAAGATTTTCTTTCTTAGTTACAGATTTCCTTTTTGATCTTTAAATTTAACATTTGACTTTGACTGAACCTTCAACATTTTCACGGCTAAAGTTCAGGTAATAAAGCTCACAGTAATCGCTCTGAACGTGATAAAAAGTGACTCTAAAAGAGTCACACCTGTTTATTTATCAGTCATGTCTAATGTGGAGAAAAGTTTCTGCTCAGAGAGTTAAACTTGAAAACAAACAGGCGCCCAGATTTCCTCTTTCTTTAGTATCAACAGTAGTAAAGCAACAGCGGAGAAAACATCTTAGATTCAGAGGCCGACGTATAAACATCAGAACTGTTTACAATAAAAGAAGTTCTTTTGCATAAAGTTCAGTTTTGTACTTGGCTCATTCAGCTGACTCTGGGTAAAAAAGGTGCATCATAGAGTGAATTTAGAGTGAATGTGTGAATGTGAGCTCACCCTTCATACATTCATAAAGCTGCTGAATCACGAGCGTTAGTGTTTTTAGACTGTAGTCAGTGTGCTGAGGAGGATCAGCACCAGTAGTTCATCAAACCGTCACAAACAGGTCCGGTCCGGTCCGGTCCGGTCCGGTCAAGGGTCAGTCGAGTCTTTATACTCCGCATCAGGTCGACTGGAGTCACTTATAGGGCCGTAAAGAGGATCACATCATCCCGTCGAGTCAGATTATATCATTTCACATGGAGTCGAGTCAGGTCCAATCACATCATACCAAGTCGAGTCAGGTCCAATCACATCATACCAAGTCGAGTCAGGTCCAATCACATCATACCAGGTCAAGTCTGGTCCAATCACATCATACCAAGTCGAGTCAGGTGTGGTCCCAGTAAATCATGGCGAGTCGGTTAAAAAAGCACCCGTATGTTTCATTCAGGGGAATCACAGAAGCTCATTATTCCAGTTACATCGGGGGAAGCTGCTGAGTGGCGTCAGTCAGTGTAGAGTCTTGTCCAATCACATCGTGTTGAGTCGAGTCTTGTCCAATCACATCGTGTTGAGTCGAGTCTTGTCCAATCACATCGTGTTGAGTGGGGCTCAAAGACATCGATCTAGTCGAGTTCGATTCACATTAAAATCAGGATAACATGTTTGTAATAAAAGACGAGTCACATTTGGATCAATCACATTACACCGGGCAAGTCCGGTCAAGTCCCATCACGGTGGGTCCCACTCAGGTATCACATCAGGTCTGAGTCAGTTCCAGTGGCGCCTTATAAAGTCCGGTTCAGTCTCCATCAGTTGGCTGAGTTTGCAGAGCGGCGTGGACTCTCGTGGTCAATTCAGGAAAACTTCAAACAAACTGGGTTGAGTTTTTTTTTTTTGGTCAAATAACATCAGGTCTAGAAATGTGGGTCCAGTGGAGCCGGTCTAGACCCGTCAGTTCTCAGGATGAGCTGGGTTGAGTGTCAGATGTTATCTGTGGTGAACAAGTCAGTTCATTCTTAGTCACTTTGGTTAGCGTTAAGATCGGCGTCAGTGCGTCAGATTTGATCACGTTCAGCTTCAACGAAGGGTCTCAGGTCATGACAAGTCTGGCTGAGTCGTGTCGTTTGGAGGTTGAAGGTCTTGGGACAGGTCCTGCAGATTCAGGTTCACTAAGGTCTGGTTGTTCCTGCTCAGTAGAGTTGTGTCAGACTAACGTTGTTGAGTTTTTATCTGAGTGAGTCGGTCTGAGTGGCGTGGAGTCGAGTCGCTTATTTCAGGTCATGAGATGGTCGACTCGTATTGTTTTCATGTTGTCCTTTCGTACGTCTTAAACTACACAAACACAGTGAAGCTGCTGGTCTACCTGGACCCTGGTCTACCTGGACCCTGGTCTGGACACAGGTGCAGCTCTTTGACACACCTGTCCTCATCAGTCCGTTCTCAGTCTGTAGCAGAAGCGGACTTCCTCGGCGGGCAGCAGGATCCCCATCCCGGCTCTGCTGGAGTCCAGCGTGGCCCGTTTCTGACCCGCCTCCAGCTGCAGGTCGAAGTAAAGCAGCATCAGACACAGGAACTGTTTGATCTCGTTGATGGCGAAGTATCGTCCGGGACACATGGAGGAGCCGGAGCCAAAGGGCATCAGGTAATACTTCAACCTCTGACCGTCTTTGTAGAAGTCCGTCTTCTCTTTGCCGTCCTGGATGTACCGATCCAGCTGGAACGTCTACGGGGTCAGAAACAACAATGAGGGTCAGCTGATCCGTGGAGCTGCAGACACACGAGCAGATGAACGTCGAGGAAACTCTCCAGCAGGAAGATTTACTGACAAACATTCCCTTTAATTTAGAGTCTGTGAAGAAATATCTGACAAACTCTGAGGCAGCGGCGCTCAACACGAAGAATCATGATAACAACACTAACACACTAACACACTAACACACTAACACTAACACATTAACACACTAACACATTAACACTAACACACTAACACACTAACACTAACACATTAACACTAACACACTAACACTAACACACTAACACACTAACACACTAACACTAACACTAACACACTAACACTAACACATTAACACTAACACAGTGACACTAACACAGTGACACTAACGCTAACACACTAACACATTAACACTAACACACTAACACACTAACACACTAACACACTAACACTAACACACTAACACTAACACTAACACACTAACACTAACACACTAACACTAACACATTAACACTTACACTAACACACTAACGCTAACACACTAACACTAACACTAACACATTAACACTAACACACTAACACACTAACACTAACACATTAACACTAACACACTAACACACTAACACTAACACACTAACACTAACACACTAACACTAACACACTAACACTAACACTAACACACTAACACACAAACACTAACACACTAACACACTAACACTAACACACTAACACATTAACACTAACACTAACACACTAACACACTAACACACTAACACTAACACTAACACACTAACACTAACACACTAACACTAACACACAAACACTAACACACTAACACATTAACACTAACACTAACACACTAACACACTAACACACTAACACTAACACATTAACACTAACACTAACACACTAACACACTAACACACTAACACTAACACACTAACACTAACACTAACACACTAACACTAACACACTAACACACAAACACTAACACACTAACACACTAACACTAACACACTAACACTAACACACTAACACTAACACACTAACACATTAACACTAACACTAACACACTAACACACTAACACACTAACACTAACACATTAACACTAACACTAACACACTAACACACTAACACACTAACACTAACACACTAACACTAACACTAACACACTAACACTAACACTAACACACTAACACACAAACACTAACACACTAACACACTAACACTAACACACTAACACATTAACACTAACACTAACACACTAACACACTAACACACTAACACTAACACACTAACACTAACACTAACACACTAACACATTAACACTAACACACTAACACACTAACACACTAACACACTAACACTAACACACTAACACTAACACATTAACACTTACACTAACACACTAACGCTAACACACTAACACTAACACTAACACATTAACACTAACACACTAACACACTAACACTAACACATTAACACTAACACACTAACACACTAACACTAACACACTAACACTAACACACTAACACTAACACACTAACACTAACACTAACACACTAACACACAAACACTAACACACTAACACACTAACACTAACACACTAACACATTAACACTAACACTAACACACTAACACACAAACACTAACACACTAACACACTAACACTAACACACTAACACATTAACACTAACACTAACACTAACACACTAACACACTAACACTAACACTAACACTAACACACTAACACATTAACACTAACACTAACACTAACACACTAACACACTAACACATTAACACTAACACATTAACACTAACACACTAACACACTAACACTAACACTAACACTAACACACTAACACATTAACACTAACACACTAACACTAACACATTAACACTAACACACTAACACACTAACACTAACACACAAACACACTAACACTAACACTAACACACTAACACATTAACACTAACACACTAACACTAACACACTAACACACTAACAGTAACACTAACACTAACACACTAACACATTAACACTAACACACTAACACTAACACACTAACACACTAACACATTAACACACTTACACACTAACACTAACACATTAACACTAACACTAACACACTAACACTAACACTAACACTAACACACTTACACATTAACACACTTACACACTAACACTAACACACTAACACTAACACTAACACACTAACACTAACACTAACACACTAACACACTTACACACTAACACTAACACATTAACACTAACACACTAACACACTAACACACTAACACTGGTATTAGAGTCACAACAGTGTGAAGTTTACAGACTGAACATCTGGGTTCTGGTTTCATTTTCCAAATATGTAAATACTGGATTTTAAAGAACTTGAAGAGCGCAGATGTTAAAAGTCTGTCCCTTTCACAGTCCTCCAAAGACGCGCTGACCTCAGAGTTTGAAACTGGAGGCAGGAGTGTTGGACCTGAACTTCTACACGGCTGAGCAGTAAAACCGGTCGTACCTGTGGGTTCTCGTAGATCTCGGGGTCCATGTGCATACTCTGAGGGTAGAGAGCGATGAAGTCACCTTTCCTGACCTTCACCGAGCGCTCGGCGTTCAGCCGCAGACTGAAGTCCTCCTGGACCACACGGATGTTCATGGAGGCGGAGGACAGGCGGAGGCTCTCGTTGATGGCGCTCTCTGTGGACAAAGACCAGAATCCTTCATCATCCAGTTCTAAAGAACAGTCAGCCGGGACCATCACGGGACCTGAACATGTGAACAGACTCATACCCAGGTACAGGAGTTTATCCAGCTGCTCTCTGCTCAGCGCCACGTCTTTGTCTGTGCTGAACTCCACGCCGCTGAGCCTCAGGGCCTCATGGATCTCCTGACGGACCTTCTCCAGGGCCTCAGGGTGACTCACCAGGTAGTACATGGACCAGAAGCAGGCGGGGATGGTGTTCCCGACAGACGCCCAGAGGATGGCGAAGTGATGGGCTGAAAGAGACGCAGGAAGAAGACGACGAGTCAGTCATCTGATGAGTCGGACAGGAGAACGCTAACCCCACCTACTCAGACGCCAAACCCGGTTTGAAACACGCCCATATCATCACCCGGACCTTCAGTCTCAACTCGGACTGACCGGGTCCCAGTTTGATGACCTGTTAGTCGGTCAGTACTGGGATTTTCTGATGGACACTATCAGCCTCTGTCTGTTTCCACTGAGTCAGGATGAAGTCGTGTAATCTGCTGTTTGTCTCCACGTTCTCACCCACAGATTATCTAAGGTCTCCGTTTAGACGTGGGTGTGGAGCAGAAACTCAGGAGAGAACGAGAGCAAACAGTGAGATAAAGGAGTTCATTCACCAACCACGTTCAGCTCTCAAAACTCTGAGTGAACTCGGGATCCAAGTCTCACTGAGACTTCAGCCAAACTTTGTTTCCTGTTAAACTTCTAATCATGAAGAAAGTGAAGAGATCCACCCCCACACTGACTGAGGTTACTCAACACATCCGACAGACATCTGTGTTAACTCTGGGAAACTAAGGAGAACATGCAGGGTACGACAAACCGAGGAGAACAGATCAATTCACCAATATTAACCCACAGACCCGCCAAAATAAAAGTCTGCTGATGTCTGATCAAAGTAAGAGCAGCTGAGCTTCATTCAAAGTTTCTCTGATAATAATCATAAAAACTGGATCAGAGGAAAGACTCAGATTAACAGACTTTAAAGGGATATTCCGCCGTAAAATTAATGTAGGGTCAAATTCACCGTAACGCCACTCTATAGCCACAAATAATGTTCAGAACAGCACCTAACTTCATCAACAGGACATATAGGGTCACAGACATAGTACTATATTCAGAGTTGTTCTAACTCCTAAGAAAACATAAACTTAAGCGGGGGCGTTTCTCCACCTCTGTAGTCTATAAGCTGGGCCAATAAACTTCTACTGTAGTAAAATGAAAAGGTAAAGGTGTTTTTATTGAGCCGAATTATCAATAAAATCATGATTTTGTTAACAGGTATGGATTAATGTGCTGTCGAGTTAATATATTTGAACAAGAGCACAGTAAAGTTAAATCAGCTAATTTTCCAATGAGGTTCTGTTACTGAACGGAACTACACCATGATCTACTCTAAACACAACTCACCTACTCTCTTCCAGCAGACGCTTGTTTGTAGAGAGACCTCAGGCCAGTCCATTACAGACTACAGCGGGGTGCCGCAGCTCAAGGAAGAACATTAATGATCATTTCTTCATCATTTCTTCATGGAAATACAATCAGACCGAGACGCTAAGACAGAAGAACTACAGCGTCTGTAAAATGATCATAAATGTTCTTCCTCTATCAGAACTTTTGACCCGTTTGTTGGTTTAATAACTTCTATGATTTGTTTTCCTTCATCTTCTGGTTTTATCTTTGCTGCGGTCAGTGTTCCGTCTTTTTGGGGTATTAAGTAAACGGGATAAACAGGAAGTTCGGTCAGTAGGTTGTCATAGCGACACTGAACTTAGACACAGAGACTCCTGACCCTGACCTGAGGTGGACGTCTCTTCCTAAAGGTCTTTATTGAACAGAGTGCAGGTCGACTCGGAGGCTTCTGGACTCTGACCTCAAACAGAACCGTCCCGGTTTGGTGCCGTTGTTGTCTTTCTCATCAGGAATAGACTCTGTGGAAGCACGTACCTGCTTTGTCGACGTCCCTCAGCGCGTCGTACTGCTCGAACACTTCCGATCGTCTCTGGATGAACTGTGACGTGTGGGACCAGCACGACATCCTGTGCGGCAGGAAGTAGTTGATGAGTTTTTCTCGGATGGCTTTGGTCTGTCGGAGCAGGCTGATGGGGATCTGGGCCATGAGCAGAGGGAACATGGAGTCGAACCTCACAAAGTCCTCCCGCAGCACACCCATCCCGCTGTGCCTCTGCGCCGACACCGGCCGGCCGTACATGGTGAGTAACGTGGCCTCGAACATGACCGAGATGCAGAACTCGTACATGCTGCTGCTCCTCCAGCCGCCCTCAGGCCCCGCCCCCTCCCTCAGGTGGTCCTGACGGAACAGCAGCATCAGATTACCCATCATGCTCTCCGTCAGGGGGGTGAGGTTTTCGCCCTGAAGGAGTTGGAAGGACCGGCCGATCTGCTCCTGAAGGCGGGGGAACTTCCGGCTGTTGGTGGGCGGGTAACCGAAGGTTGGGGGCGCCACCTTGTTGGAGAATTCGTGGAAGTCCAGCTGGCGGCCATGTTTGATGATGTTTGGGAAGAGCAGTGGGTCCATGATGAAGGTCATGTATTTACCTGCAGGGGGAGCACACCTGAGTGAGGGCAGCTTCAGAGTAAACATCACAATAACCACCGACCTCCACCTTCATCCTGATCGTCTCCTAAAAGGTCGTATCCTCCGATCGTAGCTGATCGTAACCATTCAAGTTAACGTGTCAATTTACACCGACTTCTTTTCAAAATAAAACATCCGGCTTCTTTTCAAAATAAAACATCCGACTTCTTTTCAAAATAAAACACTCCGTGTTTCAGGAGGATCGTATTTCACACCATGCAAACGGGCGGAGACGAACAAGTGAAAGGTTTTTAGACGTCATTTCACTCCGATGACACCATGGATGAGGAGATGCTGATTCTAGAAGTCTAGAAGTAGATTTCCTCCTCTGGAAGGACACAATCTACTGCTTATATGTCTATGTGTCTGTCTTTAGAGAGACAACTCGTTATCGTGAGATTGAACGTGAATCTGTGAGTTCTCCTGATTCCTGCTGTCTGTAATCTGCCACGAAATTCGCCTCACAAATGGATCTGGTAGAAATTGGGGAACAACGAAAATCGCCGCCGTTCCAGATCGGAGCCGTTCCAGATCGGATGCGGTGGAAGTCCCGGGTAATACAGACAGACAGAGAGAGTCTGTGAGAGTCCAGAACCCAGAGAAAGAAAGTTCACCTGATACCTAAAGGACCGGGTCCACGAGAGGACCTGGACTCAGACTCTGATTTGTGGGATTTCTGTCTTTGACGGTTTCATTTGAGGAAAAGCTCCGAGAATTTAGACTTTTGTGTTTTACAGCAAAGATGAAGTTGTGAGGAAGAGGAGGAGAGGTCAAGAGTTTAAAACACAGGAGTCTATCAGCTGACTCACCCCCCCACCCCCGGTGACTCTGATCCTGTCGGACCGAGTCAACAGGACTAACATGTGAGACTGACTTATCAGGACTTTCCTGTGTTCCTAAACCCGGACTTTGAGGGTTGGGTGGCGGTGTTAGTCAGGTGACTCAGCGATGACCCAACAGGAAGTCAGACAGAGTCAGCGTCAACTTCAGTGACTCCATCTTTGGGCTTTTGAACACCTCTTCAGGAACCACTGGGGGGCGTCACTGAGTCGACGGCGTGTCATAAACACTAACTGGATACTAACCTGCCATCTGCACCGTGAAAATGTCTCCATGTCTCCTCTTGTGGTCCTCCAGAAACCCGTGTGCGTCTCGTCCGAACTCCAGGGCCTTTCCAATGTACGGAATCCAGCCGTTAATCAGCGGCGGCTCGCCCCCCCTCCTGTGAAAACAACCAGACAAAGTCCTGAACCTCTGCCTCACACTCAGACCCCAGACTCGGCTGATTCTGGTCTGGCAGGAACCCTCTTATTGAGAGAGGGTGACCTTGGATAGACCCTGGTCTTAGTGCCAGCTTGGTACCTGATAAAGTCCAAACCCCCTATGAAGGATACTGGATGAAGTTTCAGGGACATTTCTTAGTCCTGGCCTGCCCAGGCCGGTACTTTAGGGTACTAGAACTCTGACTGGTTTTACTGAAGTCTCAGACCCTCAGCTAAACTCTAAAGGGATCCCCCCGTTATGCCGCGTTCAGACCAAACGCGACCTGACGCGACTTGGCGACGGCTCCCAATGCAAAGTCTATGGCCAGCCGCGACCTGACGCGACTTGGCGACCGCCGGCTTCCTGCGACGCGACCATGCGCGACCGGGCGACCGGGCGCGACCGGTCGCCAAGGCGCGTCCCCGAGGTCGCGTCGCCGAGGTCGCAGGACGCCAAGTCGCGTCGCTCCCAAAGTTCAAATATTTGAACTTTGGGCGCGACTCCGTGCCGCGACAGCCAATCAGGGCTCTGCTGACGTCAACAAACCGGCGAAACAAGGAAGAGGAGAAGAAGAATCACAATGGAGGAGCAGTTAATCACATCCGTTAGCTACCACCCGGTGCTATACGACGTGGGTTGCGGGCTGTACCGGGACCGCAACGCCAAAGAAGAAGCATCTCAGTTTCGGAGCGCCTGTATTTCGTGTCCAGGCGGGAGATGCTGCTTCCCACCCGGGCGAGGAGGTCCTCGAACTGCGCCGTCGACACACGGAAGTACCGCTGGAAGCGGCCGTCGTCCAGGCGGAGTTCCTGGAGCAAGCGGTGAAATTCACCCAGCTCCGTCCTCCTCCGGATGGTTTCATGCACCCATAAACGCCGGCGGCGTCTACTGCGGATGTACAGATATGCGGCAGCACTGATGAACTGAAAACTGAGCTAGTGACATGGATGACGTCACCTGCGACCAGCCGCGACCTGCGACTGCAGCTTTGGACCCGGTGTTGACACACCAGGGCACCAAGCGACGCGACCTGACCGACCAACGCGACGCGACGCGACCTGGTCGCGTTTGGTCTGAACGCGGCTTTAGTCTGTACTCCCACCGGGGTCCTCAGACCTCCGGCAAAGGAGGCTACTTGACATTTTTGGGACTTTTGGAGTCCTGCTGTCCTCCCTGTTAACTGGAAGCGGTCCACCGTGGCTCCGACAGAGAAGGTTCATATCCAGCTCTTGTTTCAGATCAGCGGCGTGGCGTTGATCAGGTTCACTGCAGCGAGCTCTATCGGAGTTCATGTTACTGAGAGCTGGACTCGCTCAAGTTTCCCAGAGTCTCGAGTTTCATCAGAGGAGTGAACGGGTCGGATCTTTCAGACCGTCGGAGAGATCCTAGAGAATAAAAGTCTGGAGGAGCCTGGGTCGGAGGTTTTTTGACCTGGTATCAAGGATATTTGTGAACCAGGGATCGACTCTAACTCTGAACTTTAGGGGATCAATGAAAACTGATCAATAATGTTTGTCTTATTGATCGACCTTAGTGCTATTATTAGAAATCAATTTCAGGTCTTTTGGTCACATGACAGTGAAGCTATTGAAGGAAAACAGCCTTTTCTGAGAACATCAACCGGTAATTTATTGACGGTCCCTTATTCAACACCGACGTTGACAGTGAGGGTGTCGAGTAGATTTAACCACGCTGCTGTTGTTATTCCCGGTTATGGAGAGTGAGAAGACACCGGTAGATCCTCAGAGAATGTCCGTCAGATATCCAACCTGAAACTAACTTCACCGCCGTATTTACAGGAAAATATATCCAACCTGAAACTAACTTCACCGCCGTATTTACAGGAGAATATATCCAACCTGAAACTAACTTCACCGCCGTATTTACAGGAAAATATATCCAACCTAAAACTAACTTCACCGCCGTATTTACAGGAAAATATATCCAACCTGAAACTAACTTCACCGCCGTATTTACAGGAAAATATATCCAACCTGAAACTAACTTCACCGCCGTATTTACAGGAAAATATATCCAACCTGAAACTAACTTCACCGCTGTATTTACAGGAAAATATATCCAACCTGAAACTAACTTCACCGCCATATTTACAGGAAAATATATCCAACCTGAAACTAACTTCACCGCCGTATTTACAGGAAAAAAAACATTTGTTGTTTTTTTATGCGTACATGTGACTCTAAATACATTTTATAATTCACACACGTCTATTTTAGTCGTAAATCTGAGTGAAACAGTCGCACTGTCGAACCCTGTGAACCCTGCTGTAGAAAACATGTCAGACATGAAAACAAAAACCACTTCCTGTTTGAACCTTTGAGCATCTATGTGAAGATTTCTATGTCTGTTTGAAGTCCTCGTTTCTTTTCATGGACACTTCTATAACAATAATAATCATGTTCTCGGTTTATGGAGGCCCCCCATGGTGACTGTTTCTGGGAACATGCTCCTAACTCCTGATTAGTTCCCTGAACCAGAACCAGACCGGCTCCAAGGGTCTGAACCTGACCCCCCCGCCCAGCCTGCTGTAAGGAAGTTCCAGTTCTTGAGTTCTTGTTGGACTCTGTGAGCTTCATGTGTGAAAGTCCTGATCTTGTCTGGAGGAGGTTAGTCCTGGACTCATAGAGGATCTTGTTGCTGTAAAGGTCTGGGACTTTAAGACTTTAGTGTGTCTGTGGGACTTTGGATCAGGGTGTGAATCAGACACTCCCCTCGCCCTCGGTCTGACTGACCTCGGTCTGACTGTGCAGGACTGAGCAGGACCAGGACTAATAAACTGTTTATGACCAGGAGGGTTTGGACTTCACGGATGAGAAGCGACAAAAACTGGATCAGGGTGAACCTGAACTTAGACTACATAAACCTGATCATAGACTACGTAAACCTGATCAAAGACTACGTAAACCTGATCAGGTCTGCTGACTCTCTCTGTTGAACCCTCAGGTCCAGGCTGATCCCAGTTCTTTCTGGAGAACTGTTGCATCAGAGGAGGTTTCATGTTCTCCTTCAGCTCCTCAGAGAACAAGATCTAACACGTGGAGGATTTTCTTTGTTCACTGGAGAGAGAAACATGATCACTGAGCTCCAGATCCAGGTCTACAGTTTCTGTCTCTCTCTCACGTTTCTCCTCCTGAGTGAAAAGTGCAGAAAACTTCTTAACGTTCCACAGAGACACCTGCAGCTTTAGTGTTTTTATAATCCAGAGAAACTCGTCTGATTCAGAGTTTTTCAGGATTTCAGTCTGAGCGTTAAAACATTTCAGTTCAAAGTTTCTCTAACTGACCAGAAATCCACGTTTAAATGTATTTTAGGACATTTTCACTGATTGACTAAAGTTCAGGTTTTTACTCTGTGGTTAACCCTTTAATGTCTGTTTTAACTCTCTGTCAGTGTCTGTCAGAGTAACTTCAAATCTTTATTTTAACAGACAGAAATCAGTTTGAAAGCAAACTTAAAATCAGTTTAAAATAATATCAGATCATTTAAAATCCATTTTAAATCAGTTCAGTTTAGTTTCAGATCGATGCACAGATTGATTGACGGTCACATCACTCCAGTTTTATCCTCCCTTCACTGACTTCCTCTCAGTTTGAGAATTGATTTGAAGATTTTATTGATTACTTTTAAAGCTCTTAAAGGACTCTCTCCGAGCTTCTCTCTGAGTTTTAACTTCCTCATGAGTTAAACTCTCAGATCCTCTGGTGAAGTCCTCCTGGTCGTTCCAAAGTCTCTAAACTAAAGCTGATCGATCTTTGTCCATCAGAGCTCCTCGACTTTGGAACGACCTTCAGAGGAGAGAAGGAGAACAGCAGAGACAGACGCTTCTTTTAAGACTTGATTTAATGTGATGACGTCTTTCATCTTTTACCTCTTTTCTCTTATTTCGGCTCTACGGTCTTTTTATCCTTTCTTATACTTTTACTCTTTTCCTAATTAACCTTTTCGTCCTTTTATTGTTTTATCTCTCACTCATTTCTCTATTTTATCATTACTATTATCATCAGTGTTACCTGTTATGTTATTATCATTGTTGATATTGCCTCTTATATTTACTATCCTGTTTCCACTTTCGTCCTCCCTTTTAATTCCATTTTATGTTTTTATTTTGGTCCTCATGGTCTTATTTTTTGTTGCAGGGTTCTTGTTTTGTCTGTTTTAACTGAGCGTTTTGTTTTTATCTTTTTCCATGTGCTTTATGACTTTATCTCAAAGCACTTTGTAAACGTCTGTTTTTAAAAGTGTTATAAAAATAAAGTTATTATTATTATTATTATGATTGATTGAACAGGAGGCAGTAACTCTGCTGCTGTAGGAGAGCTCAGGTTATTCGTTTCTCCTCTCTCTCTTTGTTTCTGTCCTCCTCCGCACATTAACTCCACGTCATTTACTGACCGCAGTAAATATTTAAACCCAAACCAACAATAGAGGAGCGAAGTCCGGAGCAGCAGAGCAGTCAGACAGAGACCAGAGCGTGTTCAGGAGCAGCTGGTCCTCATTAAGAATGGAAAATCCCAGCAGGAGTCAGAGGAGGTCTGCTCATCCAAAGACAGGAAGCCCCCACCTCCTTCAAACCCAACTACAGAGACTCCCAAAGTTCCCTACAGTTCCCAGGCTCTGAACCCCCCGGTCAGGACCCTCAGCGTCGCCCCCAGACGAATGAAATGAAAGTAAAAGTGTTCAGAGTCTGAGTGATGAACCATCAGTGTCTGTAAACACGGCAGACCCTCGAAAGCAGAGTGAGATCATTCATGATGGTGAGAATATCCACTAAAGCAAACCTCCATGTTACCTGTACCATCTTTAAAACTGAAGGATTTAAGCTATTTTAGAACAAATCCCTCAGACTTTAAGAGGTTTTAGAAAACCTCTTTTAGATTCAGACCGACTGAACTTTGCTGCCTCCATCACCATCCATCTGTCCCTCTGCTTTTCAGACACAAACACTCCTCTCCTCTCTTAAATTCTCTTTCAAAAATTTTACATCTTTAAGCGTTTTTACGTGATTTTTGCGGGTTGATCATTTCTGACTTCACCCCAAATTTTTTAGGATTTGATCCTGATAAAATTAAAGTCTCTTTAAAATAACATCTCCATTCCTGTTTCTTTATACTGAAAATCAAATAAATTCCTGTTTTTTTTCTCCATGATGAAAAATTTTGATCTTGTTCATTTTTAAATAATTTTATCACATTTACGGCAGTCATCTCCTACATTTACTTTTGTTGTTAATGTTTATTCTCAGAAAATCAAGTTTCTTCATATTTTTATTTTATGACTGACACTGAAAATACTTCGTGTGTAGTACTTATACCGTAATTCTCTAACCGGACGAAGTGGAAAATACTGTAAACGGGTGTTCAGACCAAACGCGACTTCGGCGACATCAGCAACGGCTCCCAATGCAAAGTCTATGGACAGGCGCGACCTGACGCGACTTGGCGACCGGTCGCCAAGTCGCGTCAGGTCGCGGCTGTCGACTGACGCGACTGTCCATAGACTTTGCATTGGGAGCCGTTGCTGATGTCGCCGAAGTCGCGTTTGGTCTCCCTGTATAACACCCCTGTATACTGCCGTGCTTAAAATCACAAATTTATAAATACTGCTGTACTCTAACTCTGGGAAAATAGCATAAGTATTAGAGTACTCCTACAGTTATACTTTGAATGAACTGAGCACAGCACTTTAACTGCATAAATTACTTCATTACGATGGGAATATCTCATTAAAGTACTTCTGAAACAGAACAGATATTACTGCAGTACTTGGACTCTGATACTATGTATTACTTTACACACATTCAGTACTTTGACTACAAAGTTTCAGATCAGACACGTATTTTGAACAGAGTGAAGTACTTTTACTTCAATAATCTGAGTATAAAAAGCGGAAAAACTTCAGTCTGTGTGAGGAGATACTTTCCCTCCATGTAGCGGACAACACTGCTGAGATACTGGGACATCACACAGCGGTACATGAGCGTACTTGTACTGCAGTATTCCTGGCAGTATTTCAGAGTAGTACAGAGTGAGTACTGACCTCTTCCTCCGGCGCAGCAGGCCGAGCAGCAGAGAGAGCAGGCCGAGCAGGAGCAGCAGCAGCGGGGACATGTTTGGAGGAGCTCCCGGGGAGACGAGCCGGAGTCTTTGGAGAAACACGAAAACATCACACACACACATACACACGCACACACTGTCTGCCACTGTCCACATACACAAATTATGCTTCCGGTAAGGACTTTCAAAATAAAAGCCCAGATCAAACAATGAGGACCGTTCAGGCGGGAGCAGGTGACATATGAACACAGACTTCCGGTCAGGTCAGATCAGCTGAATAAAGATCTGAAAATTGAGACTTCTGAACCACTAAGACCTGCTTCAGGACTTCAACCGGGCCTGGTCTGTGGTCCTTTTGGGGTTTTAGGGCGTCCCTAGACCCCCAAGTTATCCTCCTGTATTAGTTTAAAGCAGAGAAAACTACAGAAGTGCCCTTTAAATGTCCTTACAGAGGCTGGGACACTATAACAGTCCCTCTCTGTTGACATAAAAAATGATTTTTCAGTGTTTTTTTTTAACTTAAAGCTGCTCTTTAAATAAAGTTTGATTTGATAAAGAGTTTCCTCTCACTGTCCCTCAGACAGAGAAGATTTTAAAGATCCTTTAAAAAATCTGTCAAATGTGTTTAAGTGTCTTTTAAATTAACCTCAGGTGGATGGCAAGTTTAAAATAATGTCTTCTAGTTGAATGAATCTTTAAAATCTACCATCGTAAAACATTTATAACAATAATAATAATAAATTTAATTTAAAATGCACTTTTTTTTAGGTGCTCAAAGATGCCAGTTTCAGTCAGATTAAAGAAAAGGAAATATTAGTATTTAAAAGAGAAGCCGGTTCTTTTTCCGACCCGATCAGTCTGTTTTTTCTGAACCTCCATGTTTGTGGAGGTTTAAGTCCACTGACCCAGTTCTCCTGTCTCTACTTCTGAACATGGGCCCAACAACACCCTGACTTACCCCCGCTTCAGCCCAGGGGGCTTTTATTTTGAAGGGCTTAGGTTAGGACATCCCTCAGACAGGTGGGCTGGAGTGGGAACATCCCATGATGCAACAGGAGAGCATCTCCTCAGGGGGCAGACCTGCCTCTACATGTGGACCCAGCTCACACCTGAGTTCACCTGAGGTCTGAGAGAACAAGGGCAGGAAGTGAGATCACGATGACCTCATGATGACTCACGCCTTACCCCTCTGTGTCACGGGATCCTCAGACCGAGACTCGCTGAGTCATGAACGCTGACTCGGCTGAAAAACTTCTTGATAAGACACGTGAACCTGTGCTCACCGCTTTCATCAGAGACGTGACGGTGGCCTTCAAGGACAAAAGGCTGGAGCGACCTTCACGCAGTCTCTCAGTTAAAGTAGAGATCGGTGATTATTATGAAGCTCGTTTCTATGGCGATCATGGTCCTATAGTGAAGTGAAGAGACAAAAGAATTCAGAAAAAAAAAAGTTCACCCAACATTGACCAATGGGAGCCATCCGTCCCGGACAGCTTCTATTGGTCAATCTCCTGCTCCGCCTCTCCATCCAATCACCTCGCTGTATATAGAGGTTTGGGTGTGTGTTTGGGTGTGTGTGTGTGTGTGTGTGTGTGTGGGGTGGGACGCTTTTTTCAAATCTGCCTGAACGGCTCGTTTTTTTCAACTGCTTCTCAGATGGTCAACCAGGACTTTAATACGAAACCGTGAACGTTACAAGTCAACTCTGAGTTACTGTAGAAACATGGCGGTGTAAGACGGCGCCTTCATCAAGGACCTGCTCTTCTTCTAAAAGACTCGTTCTACGTTCTAAAAAAAACAGGATGAGTTTATGGTGAGGGGATTTTCACAGACTATGAATATTTGACTTCCTTTCTTTAAAGTCCGATCTCTCTTCCTGCTCCAGGAAACGACATCAGAAGACGTGAAAAGGAGTTCGTCTTTTTAGACATCAGAGAGTTTGTGAAGGTCTGAGAGAAGAAAGTGAGGAGAGGCTTCTACGGTCTTCTCGGTTTTTCAGCGTCTTGTGAATGACCTGCAGTAACCTCTCAGCGCTGCATTCAGACGTCAACAACTCCAGCTCGCCCCTCCTCACATGACTCTCTCTCTCTCTCTCTGTTTGTAAGAAACCGTCCGGCTCTCCTTTCAGACTCGAACAAAACTCTGCGTTCAGTCCGTGTGGCGTTCAAAGACTCTCATTCACGGAGTCACAGAGTCACAGAGGGCGGTCTGGGCGCCGCTCCGCACGGCATTATGGGAACATTCAAAGTCTGCAAAAGAGTGAAGGAGGTTTTCTCTGTTTTTATCCTCAGAGTCACGGAAACGTCGTCAGAGAAATGAAGGCCTCATATCTGAGTCTGAGCTGAGAGGGGACAGGAAGTGCTGACAGGAAGTGAGGGGAGTAGAAGGCCTGAGGTGGTCTGGACTTGGACAGGGTCCTTCCAGCTCCGTCTGAGTCCACAAACATGAGGCGTGTTTCTGTTCGGGTTTTTCATGACACAGTTTTTATTCTCTGAACAAACGATAGGAATCATCATTATTACACCACAGACTGTCGGTACACTGAGGAGGAGGAGGAGGAGAACACTCTTATTGGCAGGTGTCAGATTTCAATAGAAATCACATCATTGAAAAAGAAGATCAATAACATTAGGAGTCAATAAAACCTGAGTAGAAGAAGAAGAGACGAGTTCATGCAGGTGAGAGATTAACGACCTTTTAGAAACCAGATTTAACAAACCGTCTCAGCAGAAACCTGTAACCATGGAAACGGAACCAGCTGTGGAGTCAGAGGTCATTTTTTTATATCCCGGTAACCCCCACTTTTCACCGCATCCTGAACGGCGGCGATTTTCACCGACCGCCGATTCCTACCGGAACCATTTGTGAGGAGAATTTTGTGGTGGATTACAAACATCGGGAATAACGAGAACTCACAAGAACCCGCAGATTCACGTTCAATCCCACGATCACGAGTCGTCTCTCTAAAGACAGACACATAGACATATAAGCAGTAGATTGTGTCCTTCCAGAGGAGGAAATCTACTTCTAGACTTCTAGAATCAGCATCTCCTCATCCATGGTGTCATCGGGGTGAAATGACGTCTAAAAACCTTTCACTTGTTCGTCTCCGCCCGTTTGCATGGTGTGAAATACGATCCTCCTGAAACACGGAGTGTTTTATTTTGAAAAGAAGCCGGATGTTTTATTTTGAAGTCTGTGCCCGACTTCCTTTCCAGCACGGGTTAATCTGTGCTGAATTTATCCGCCATGCTCCGGCGTCCAGAAAAAATAGAACTCTTGTGATCAGCTGAGGAGTCCGGCGATCCTCAGAGGAACGGAAAGAAGTCGGTGTAAATTGACACGTTAACTTGAATGGTTACGATCAGCTACAATCGGAGGATACGACCTTTTAGGAGACGATCAGGATGAAGGTGGAAACTGGAGGTGATATCACTTGTCTGTAAACTGTCCTGAGGTCTGATGGATCAAAATCTAACACTGTATTGGAAAGAACAACTGGACTAAGGCTAAACGTCTCCAGTAAGTCCAGTTGTTCTTTCAACAAAGATTCAGAACTCATGAACCCTCTGGTTCACGCAGTGAGGAGGCAGACGGCGTCCACTCTATATACAGTCTATGGTTAAGCCCTTTAACATTCAATAATCAGTTACTTTAATACCAATGAAGACAGGTGTAAATAATCTATATTCATGATCTATGTTTGACCTTTAACAGTCTGATTCATTTACTGTTGGAGGACCACATGGAGACAAAATCTAATCTAGAAGAATTGAGTCTTTAATTATGAGGAAAGTCTTTTCAGAGTCCTGATGGGACGAAAATTTAAAGCTCCTGTGAGTGACTTTAGTTTGTGTTAATGATGGCGCCCCCTGTCTTTGTTTATGGTGACATCAGCATATTTAGGAGTCTCTCCAGACAGTTAGTACATGACACTTCAGAAAACCGAATTATCGCCTTATTCCGATTCAGACCGGACAACTGAAGGTCATGTAAACACCTTAGTCCGACTATAATCAGAGTCTGAGAACTCAGATTAAGACACACAGATAATGTGACTGGAATTCAATTTTCTCTACCATGTAACCAGCGTAGTCAGAGTATGAAGCCACGCCCCCGTAATAAAACCCCCAGAGTAGAGGAGTAGCGTTGGTCTCCTCTTTAGAAAAAGTAGCGCCTCCATCATGTCGGACAAAAACAACGCTGTACGATGCTCCATCTTCTTGTTTCTCCAAAATGCCCAGCAGCAGTTGTAGACACTTCTGACGTCTGACACCGACCTGCTGTTGTTGTTGACGGTTGGATGGGGTCGGAAACAGCGCCGCTGAAAAGACCCATATCGCCCCCTAGTGTTGGGGAGGAGGACACGTTCACGTCGATAATTCAGTTTTCTCAGCTGCATGTAAACGAGGACGAGGAGAGAAGTCTGATTAAACTGAGACTGTAAACGAACTGAGTGAGCGTTCGCCTGAAGAGATTTCCTTTAAATGAACTGAATCTGAAGGTTAAAGGGCTTTCTGAGCAACACCTGACAGGTAAACAAACACACAGTCACTGAATGAGAACAACAGCATCACGAGGACAAATCTGTACAAGGTCATTAAAGGTCGATTCAGCCCAGAGGACCAGACTCTGAGGAGACGCTGCACTCGCCACGTCCCTCAGAGGACGCAGACGTTTGATTGGATAAACATCAGGAGACGGTTCAGACGAAGAAAAGGGGAATGTGACTTTAAAAGGAAGGAACTTAGTTCACTGCATCATCAATACTACAGGAGAGACGCTCTCTGAGCCCACACTCACCGTCAGATCAGAGCGTCCACAGGTTCAGGAGCTGCTCCGAAGAAGAGTCCAGATTTGTTCTGTTGTCATTAAAAGAGTTCCTGCAAACACACAGGTTCTGATCTGAGGTCTGTTTGAAGGCATTCACACCAGGTGGGGGTCTGTAAACAACCTGACCTTTGACCTCTGCATTCCCACACAGTAACACAGTCAGAAACAGACAGTACAGCAGCGTCCGAAGAGGAATCAGACCTGTGTCCATCAGTAACAAGTCCAAGTCCCGGTCCGCGGGTCAGGAGTGTGTGTGTCTGTGTGTAACAGTCTCATGGAAAACTATGACAAATACCCAGAATCCTCCTCAACACCGCCACGAACCTTTGGTCATAAAGAGACTCTGATCTGATTCACCTGAGCAGGTGTTTCACTTCATGATCGGAGCTCCGCCCACTCAGTTTAGTTCAGGTGGGTTCCTCAGTCTGTGGAGGGTCTCAGTTTCTCTGTTGACCCTCATTGGTCGTTTGTTTGGTCGTTGGGTCAGGTCTCTCTCTCTCTCCTCTCTCTCTGATGGTCGTTCTGTGAGGAGGAGGAGGAGGAGGAGGAGGAGGAGGAGGAGGAGGAGGAGGAGCCTGTCAGGAGGTCTGTGGACTGGAGGAGGTGAAGGCACGGCTGACTGAACTTCCTGTCTCACTGGTCAGAGTCAAATAAATAATGGAGAAGAAGGTCAGAAGAAGAAGAGAGGGACATCCTGCTCCGTCCTCTTCACTCTCAGGCAGTGGTGTTTGTTCGTTCTGCTGCAGGACCGGTCCGGTCCGGTCCGGTCCGTTTTAAGACATCTTGGTTGTTCACAGAGCGGTCCACACTGAGAGCAGGGCTGAGGAGAAGGATGGTCTCCTCTCTGACAGCAGTTTGTTTCACTCACCAGTTTTTCGTCTCTGCCGCTGAGACACAAGGTGAGATTTGGCAGCTGGTAGATTTTGGTTCTCAGAGGAGGGGGGAGGTCCGGAGGAGGGGAGGGGCCCCGCAGGGTCACCAGTAGAAAGAGCGGGACAGGAAGTTAGTGGCCGCGCCGAGCCAGCTGGCTCCTTCCTGACCGGATCCCACCCGGCTCACCGCTTTATCGGGCTCCTGAGACGGACTCTCGTCCTCGGGGAGGTAATCAGGCAGGTTCACGTTCTGCTCCACGACCACAGATCCATCCTCCACAAACGGGATCAGAACCTGAAGACGAGAACCTCAGTTAGACCCACAGAAAACAAGAGGAGATCAACTTCCTGAATGACGGAGCGAAACCTTTATAAGACTCTGGACTGATGGACCTGGAGTCCGTCTCCGTCTCTCTGCTGTGACTCAACAAAGAGGCGGAGAGGATTCTGGGAAAACTTCACCATGAAGGAGGTTCATAAAAACTCTGAATTAAACCCTTTTTGTTTCTCTTGTTCTGGGTTGTGGTCTCTCTAGTCCTCATCCTCTGACTATGATCCTGGTCCTGATTCTCTAAAACCAGATTCCAGCCTCTAAAGGTGTAGAGTCTGAGGTGAGCGCAGCAGCAGCAGCTGTGATCATCTACAGTTTAATGACCTCTGTCCTTCACCACCTCAGGGTCTACACTCTGGAGCTCTCCGTTCCCTCTAAATCATCTCTGACACTCACCTCTTCTCCGCTCTCTCCCTTCACCACCTGCTGAGCCTTCATCACCTGAGTGGACGCGATCGCAGACGCCAGAGCCTGAAAAACAGAACCAGTCATCGTCTCAGTCAGGTCACTGAGAGTCTGGTTCAGACTCTGAGGGTAAATTCATGAACACAGCTGAAGTGATGGAAACTGTTTCCATCTGTGACTAGGAACAGGACTGACGTGGTCCTGGATGTGGGTCTGGTCTCACCTCAGCCTTCAGGTCTGAGCGGATCCGGACGATGCATCTCTTGACGGTCATCTGGAAGGTGAAGCTGATGACTCCTCTGATCTTCAGCAGAGCCTCCTCACACAGACTCCTCCGACTCTGACAGAGACAACACAAACAAGTTTCAGACCCAGACCCTCATCCTGATCAGGGTCTCTGAGTGCCACCCTGAACCTGTTTCTTATGATGAGTCAGAGGTAAGAGTTGCTCCTCAAAGAGCCTCAAAGCTGAACGTCTGTCTCCTCATCGCTCTGAGATGTTGAAACACTGGTCTTAAACCGTCCTTCAGACACGACCCTCCTCACCAGTTTTTATGAACCCGCCCTCAGCTCAGATTTTTGAGACGGACAGGAAGAAAAGGACCTGAGGTGAAAAACTGTCCTCTCCTGTTTGACAGAAGGTAAAGGGTCTGAAGATAGACCTGGAAACAAGAACAGGTCTGAAGAGGACCTCAGATAGGCTGAAGTGTTTTAGTCTACACATGTTTGGACCGGAACCAAAGAAAAGATTTAATCCTAAAATAAAATCCAGGTCGGAGTTTTAATCCTCTGACAAGTTACTGAATAAGTTCATCAGGGGGATGAACTCCATCTGCAGGTCCTGAGGAGTCAGGACTAGAGGTTTGGGTTTGGACCAGAATCACTTTGTTCGGTTTTCATTGAAAACATGTTTTAGTTTAATTCCTCATTTGTGTGACAGGACAGGAGGCTGGATGCTGAGCGGTACATCAGGGTGTCTGATGACACCGATCCCCGGGGAACTGAAAGAGACGGACAGGTGCAGCCTTCTGTGTGCACACAGAGTCCTGTCTGTCAGACCGTCATCACACCAACAGGAAGTCCTGCCTCACACAGTCTCTGTAGGAGTAATGTGGGGTCTAACATAGGTGCTGCTCACTGGGAGTGGAAGTCAGATCAAGTATGACTGTACAAACAAAGATGGGTCTGCAGTTTTTTAGAACCGGGGGTGGCCCCCCTTTGGGCAGGGGTGTGAAAGCTGACGTCTGTGAACAGAGAAAGACTGAAAACATGCGTTAGAGGCGGGGCCACAGAGTCTGCTGTGGGCCTGAAAACACCAGGACTGTGAGTTTGGATGAGTCCACGAGCTGAATGGCTTTGTGTCGCTCTGGGACCGGACTCAGTGAAAGGACTCAGGAGACAAAGCCTGGGTATCTGTCCCGTCAGCAGAGGGTCCCACATAAAAACACAGAATACCAGATCTTCATTAAAACAACAAAACTTTCTCTTCGAGTCCTTCAGGGGAACAGGGGACGCTCTGAAAAACTGTTTGATGTGGAAATACTCAGCTCTGGGTCCTGGGGGACCTCGGTCTCCTGAAAACCAGACTCATGCAGCAGATTAGACAGGTCAGGGGTATAAACCCCACAGAGAGGGGGTTTTGGATAGGTGCACATGTTGATATCAGACAGAGCCTTACAATGGAGCAAAGACTACAGAAGTACAGTCAAGTCTCCACAGGAGGGCGCCAGAGTGCTACAGAGGAGGTACAGCGGGGGTGATGAGAGTCCCTCACTTCAAACTGTGAGAATCTCTGACGCTGTGATTTTAACTGAGACCTATGAGGGTTCATGTGGTTTTTCTAAAGCAGGGTCTTCAAACCGGGTCTTAAGGGTCTCTGAGTCGGCCTAAATCAGAGGGTCTCATCTCAGGGGCAGAACCACCTGACCCTGGTCTGTCTCTGAGCGAGAGACGTCGTCTGCTCACCGAGTCGTCCAGTCCGTCAATGTGCAGGATGACGGTCTTGGCTCTCTTGTTGCTGGAGCCCAGGAAGAACTGGGCTTTACGGCGGCTACTGACCGTCTCCTCGGCGGGCTCTGAGTCGGCGTCGCTCGACGCCTGCAGGAGCTCATAGATCTCGGACGCCAACAGCTTTGTCTCCCCGGGAGTGGTCGACCTGATGGAGAAGCAAAGAGATTTAAACTGAGATCAGAGAAGAGTTCAGGTCAGTGGAACAGGAAACAACCGCACTGGGGAGGTTAAAGGTCAAGAGAGGGAAAAGGTTTGAGGACAACGAAGATAAATGATGAGAAATACTCGTCTCTGAACCTGAGGTGTTAATGTTTCAGTGGAGTTCTTTTTTTAGCCCTTTAATACCTCGAACACAGACTGAGCAGCTTCTGCAGCCAAAAAACACAAACTCAGAGACGACTTAACCCCGAAAAACCAAAACAAACCATCGACAACAACAACAACAAGGTCTCTAACTCACAGAGAAACACTCTGGAGCAACACTTTGGTCAGACACTTGCACAGCAGACGTTAAAACCATCTCTGATCCTTCAGGACTCTTTTAAAGAGTCGGCGACTCTCTCTGAGACGTGAATCATACAGAGTTCAGTAGATCAGGAGTTCATCAGCAGGACTCGACACTAACTCTGTTCACATGTTCTCCTATGTTAAAAAAAGTAAGAACTTTAGGGGATCAATGAAACTGATCAATAATGTTTGTCTTATTGATCAACCTTAGTACTATTATTAGAAATCAATTTGAGGTCTTTTGGTCACATGACAGTGAAGCTATTGAAGGACAACAGCCTTTTCTGAGAACATCAACCGGTAATTTATTGACGGTCCCTTATTCAACACCGACGTTGACAGTGAGGGTGTCGAGTAGATTTAACCACGCTGCTGTTGTTATTCCCGGTTATGGAGAGAGAGAAGACACCGGTAGATCCTCAGAGAATGTCCGTCAGATATCCAACCTGAAACTAACTTCACCGCCGTATTTACAGGAAAATATATCCAACCTGAAACTAACTTCACCGCCGTATTTACAGGAAAATATATCCAACCTAAAACTAACTTCAGCGCTGTATTTACAGGAGAATATATCCAACCTAAAACTAACTTCACCGCCGTATTTACAGGAAAATATATCCAACCTAAAACTAACTTCAGCGCCGTATTTACAGGAAAATATATCCAACCTGAAACTAACTTCAGCGCTGTATTTACAGGAGAATATATCCAACCTAAAACTAACTTCACCGCCGTATTTACAGGAAAATATATCCAACCTAAAACTAACTTCAGCGCCGTATTTACAGGAAAATATATCCAACCTGAAACTAACTTCATTTACAGGAAAATATATCCAACCTGAAACTAACTTCACCGCCGTATTTACAGGAAAAAAAAAAAACATTTGTTGCCTCGGCTGATTTTTTTTTTATGTGACCCTAAATACATTTTTCAATTCACACACATCTTTTATTTTAGTCGTAAATGCGAGTGAAACGGTCGCACTGTCGAACCCTGGTTAGCCAGGCTGAATTGTGGGTAACTGAATAACCCTGCAGGATGAATAATTCCGAACCCTGACCAGGTTGAAGTTCAGCACCTGTCATAACGAGGTTTCAAACTCCATAAATGAGGATGACCTTGTTTCTGTAACTCGGTCTCATCGTTGACTCACTTCTGCACCACGTTCTGGAGGCTCAGCATCATCCCCAGCTCCCCCTTCAGCTTCTCCCGGTTGGCTCGGCATTCTGCCAGGTAACGGATGGCCTGAGGACAACAGTCACATGACAGCGGGATGACAAAGAGAGGCAGGCGAAGGTCCAGAGAAACCTGAAGGTCACAGCTTTAAAACTGCACCAACACACTGAAAAAAGGGTATTCTGGAAAACACCCGCACATGTTTGAACTCACCAGGAGGGCGGAGTAGACCACCTGAGGGTTGGGGTTGTCGAGGAACAGGATGAGTCCTGGCAGGCAGCCCTGGTCCTGGACGATGGCCCTGCGGTTCATGGGGTCAGCAGCCAGGTCCCGCAGCTGGTTGACCACAGCCAGGGCGTCCGGCTCCGCACTCATGGCTGCCGTTCAATCACCCATACAACGACCAGCTGAACGACAAACAAACAAATGAACAGAAGTAAAAATTGGTGTTCAGGGTCTCGCCTGAAACCCTTCATGGACTCTGACGTCCCTCTGTGACCGACACACACTCCACATCTGGATTCAAACACGCTGAAAAGTTCATGGAAATTTCCTGAACTTTTTTTTCTGGAGTTTTCAGGTAGAGCTGCATGTTTTAACACAAGCAGCAGAGTTTTTCATCCTGACTTGGTCCTGAATTTTCCCAGTCTGCCTTTTAATGACTTGGAGCTCATCGTTCATGCCTTTGTGTCGTCACGTTTAGACGACTGTAACAGTTTGTTTTCATGTCTGAACAAAAAGGAGCGGTCTCTTCTTCAGTTCGTTCAAAACTCTGCAGCGAGAGTTCTAACCCGCGCTATTAGGAGGACTCACATATCCCCTATTCTCAAAGCTCTTCATTGGCTGCCTGTGTCCTCAAGGATCACTTTAAGATTCTGGTCCTAACGTTTAGAGCCTTACATGGTCAGGCTCCATCTTTGTGATCTGATCCAGCCTTACACCCCCCCTCGGGCTGTGAGGTCTGTGGATCAGAACCTGCTGATGGGTCCACACACTCGTTTTCGGACCAGAGGAGGTCCTTCCAGGTTGTTGGAATGATCTCCCTCTCTCTCTGCGCTGAATTGACTCTGTTGACTCCTTTAAAAGCCGACTCCAAACTTATTTGCTCAGGCTTTTGTTTAAGTGTTTTTGGGGCTGATATGACTGTTTAATGTTGTTGTCTTGGCCTTTGAAGTACATTTTTATTATTGTCTATGAGAAACACTTTGTGACTTTTTGTCTGTGAAAAGTGATATACAAATAAAGTTTACTTAGTAAAATCTCTGGAAGAAGGAGGGGGAGGTGTAAACACAGCAGGTAAAGTCAGGAAAGTCTTCATGACTTTGTCTGGACTTTTACCCTCCAAAAGAAGCTCAGAGGATCCTTTAGCCTCCAGACCACAGCCACACTGAGGCAGACTGATGAAAATGTGAACCTGCCCTTGAAGAGTTTCACGCTGGCGTGTAAAACCAACCCTCCTCCTTGGACCTCTCAGGTCACATGACACACTTTCCTGAGCGCTAATCCTAACCAGCTCAGATCGAGCATTTATGAGCAGCTGATTTTAGACATTGATCCTCACAGAGCCCTTTCTTTCACTAATTCACTGATTTTACCTCCATGTTCCCCCGACAGGACTCAAAAATCTGCTTCATGCATCAGTTCTATACAACAACAAACATAGACTGCTAAAGGACCTCACTGTTCTGACCCCATGCTGGTTTGTTGACCTCTTTCTGAAGCTGATACCTTCAGTTCAGATTCATACACTAGATTCTTCCAGCTTAAAGCCCAAACTACACTAGAACTGTAATCGAGGGTTTTAGTGTTTGTGAGATCTGAAATTGACCAATCATCTTTGCACTAATGATATTTTAAGATTCCTCTCTTTCAACGTTCATGACGAAGAGCAACTCGGTAAGAGTGCACAGTGGTGTTTGTAGTCCGTCTGCTGTGATTTGTAGTTTTTAACAGCAGATTCAGGTGAGATCAGTAACACCCGCTGAGTGTGAGGGCAGACCATAGACTGTATTTACTATGAACAACTTGGCTCCGCCTCCCGCCTGTTTACGGATTTGAAGCCAAAAAGTTCTCGGTATTTCTGAGATTTTTCTTCATTTCCTGAAACCAGCGCTGCGCAGTAACGTTGTTCGTATTCAGCGGGAGAGTCGCAGAGAGTCGCTGTGATGACGCTCGGCTCAAACAGCGTATCCCCCCGGGTGAGCTACGCAATCCCTGTCCTCCCATAGGCTGTATCAGGTGTCAATCATAGAAAACATGAACCCCCTAATAACTTTTAAAAATGGAGCTGTACAGAAAAAAGAGGACTTGAGCACAAACCAGTCTGACAGTAACTACATGTCAACATCACAACCAGGGGGGAGAAACATTTATATTCTGTGTCATTCATTTATAAAGTTTGTCCACAGCTCCATAAGGAGGCGGGGTTTATGACCTATACTGCAGCCCGTCACCAGAGGGCGCTGTTCTCACAGAGAGGAGGAGGCAGACGGCGTCTATTCTAGATACAGTCTATGGGGTAGACTGATTCTCCAAACACCATGACATTAACCATCAGGGTTAAGGAAGAAGACACAGGAGGTTATTCTAGACTTACAGGATGTCTAAAATAATCATCTGATCACCATGTCTATGGCCCATCTGTTTACATGGAGGAGGCTAGTTGAATGAACCTTACTACAGTCTGTCCCCAGGGGGGGCTCTGACTGTTTTGGCTTCGCTTTGCCCCGACCATGAGCCTTGAAAACGACCCCAAGATTTAAGGAAATACTTCATTATATAAAGATTAGGAACAAACACCTGTCTCTGTTATCGACCCAGAATTTAGCTTTAACTGGTTTCAGACATTTCCAAATTCATGATAAATGTCATAATGAATCCAGAATTATGACTGGTACTGAATTGCGGGTTGATTGTTTCATTACATCCTTCACTTTGTTCTGCATTTATAATTTTTTGTCCTCATCTTTTTACCCTTTTTAATTTTTACACACTGATGGATAAAACAGGCCGAACTGACCAGAACCCTCTCTCCTTTCATGGAAGTTTGCTGTCATGTTTTCCGGCAGAGTTTTCCTGTCCTTTACACTGAGAAACTCTTTAAATGTCACATTTTTACGTTGGTTTCAGTGAGTCCTCTCACAGGCTGCCTTCCCGGTGATGTGCTGACAGGGGCGGGTGTTGTCACCCTGTCAGCCCGGCTCTCTGAGGGTTTATCTCGGCCACAGCAGCTGTATGAGCCGTGATCTGAGTGTCTGGAGGAAGGCTAACGGCGCTCACCTCTGACGGTCCCCGGCACCGAGCGGCGGGATGACGGCTAACGTTAGCGGTTAGCTCCCGGTTAGCTTCTCCTCACGCCGCGCCCTCAGCAGACATGAACCTCCGGTGACAGTTTCCGCCGCTCCGACAGCAGCTTCAGGAGGACCACGGTGACTCACGGGCTGGTTCTCCGTCTGAATCCGGTCATAAAAACGTTTAAAATGTCATTTACACTGAGAGTCCAGAAACCGTGCCGACTCTTCCTGCTGAAAGAACACCAGGACGTCGACGTCGGAAAATCAAGGCCTCTGATTGGATTGGTGGCGGCCACCAGATACCGCTGACCAATGAGCGGCATTGTTGTTGGAGTTAAAGGTCCCACGCCCTGTAGCTGCAAACAAACGGATGTGGGATCAGTTTAAGTGGTTTATCTTTGTTTGTGTGAGAACCTGAAGAAAACAGAACCAAAGAGTGACCCTGAAGACCCACACACCCCACTGAGAAGACCAGGTCAGAAGGAAGGAAATAAACATCAGTGTAAGATCAAAGATTTAGATTTATTTTTTAAATAACGAGGTTTTAAAATGATGAGAATTAAATCATCAAGTCTTTTGAGGACCATCCTCTCTGGTGATGAGATCCTCATCAGGTAACCTCGCCTCAGCAGTAAGAACCATCGACTACAAACGGACTTTTTCTCATTTATAAGACAGCAGCTTTCCATCATGATCATCATGACCACGGAGAGACCTGCTGTCCAGGAACAGAGCTGCTCAGGTTTTTCTGATGGGTTTTCTCGGTTCTCTTCTTTGAGTCCTTTAACAATCGTCTTATTTTACCTGAAGACACCTCATCCTCATGATTTAAAGGTGGAGTAGGCAGGATTCTGTTAAAGAAGCATCTTTTTATTTTGTGGTTTTAATACAAAAAATCTTCTAATATCAGTCAATAGTTATTAGTTATTGATGACATTTGGTAATATATCGATATCTCTGTGTTCTCTTATGTCTGTGTCGTCAACATTTGAACATTTTTGAGCGGTCCGCTCTTTCTGACTGTAAACAAAGACGTTCTCCACCTCCTCTAACCTGATTGGTTGTGAGGCAGACGCTGCTCCCCCGTGTCGTTCAGGAGCCCAAACAAAGTTAGCGTGCTACAATATCGGACAGTAGAAACCAACCAGAAAGTTCGGAAAATTGTCTGAATCCTCCTTTGGCCACGACTGCCGACTCTGGAGGAATAACGGGCGCTTAAAACGGAGGTAGATCAGACAAGAGCTAAAAAGCCGGGTCAACATAAACCATGGGGGACGCTTGGGGATCTTGGTGACCCTGTAACCTTTCTGCTGGACAGGTAAACCGCTTTAACAAAGTAAGACAAGTGTCTGTAACAGAAGTGTTTCTTGTCAAACGGACCTGCTGTAGCGTGTTGTAGCGCCATCGCTAAACTGTCCTCCCTCGGGTCCTGGACTATGTCACTTTATCCTCGTTGTAGAAGTCCTGCAAACATTGTGTTTGCTGGTAGTCTGTTGGCATCTACAGTAGCACCAATGCTTTTGACTTTCACCTTGACTGGGCCCCATTTGTAATGATCTGAAGGATTTATCTGCATTATATCTGAATTTAACTGGAACGATACGAGCGAGCAGGAGCGTCTGTTTGTGGGCGGGGCTTGAGGGGAGAGGAGGAGCTGAGGGGAAAACTGGTTGGTAGGGGTAGAGTTTACATTCAAGATTTCTCCTAAAAACTGGAACTTCCTCAGATCATGACTACACCACCTTTAATGTGAATTTTAATTTTTATTGTTTTGTTCCATATTTCATCTGTTTACATGGAGGACGGCTTGATAGGCATACTGCAGCCAGCAGAGAAAACTCCAAATGTTTGGGCTGCACTTTTGAGGAGATGCCTCAGGGTCCATCTGTGTACAGTGGACTGTCAGGAGTTCACGGATGAGACCACCCAAAATAACTTAAAGAGTGAGGAGTAAAAAAAAACAAACAGATAAAACAAGCTGTGACAAAGTGACAGGACTGTTCAACTGACTGTTCCAGATGTCAGTCCAGCAGAGGGCAGCAGAGACACATGAGACACACAAGAGCTTTAGGTCCAGAATGTGGAGATCCGGGTCCAGCCACAGTCAGATCCTTCTCTGGTGTCAGCTGTGAATAATCCAGGTCTACCAGACAGGAAGAAGACGGATCAGAACAAAGTAGTCTCACTCTACAGGGGTGAGTTCTTCTCAGGTGCAGTTTTTGAAAAACCATCTGAGCTCCTGATCATCAGGACTACAGCTGCTTAAACTCTCTGAAGGTAAACACTGAAGGTTTCTGAAGATCTGTGCTGCTGTGCCTGAACTGAAACATGAAATCATAGAAAGCTCATCTTTTCATTCATGTGTGAAGAACTCACAACATTTCAGACTGAAGACTTCAAATTAGAGAGCAGCTCAGTTACTCTGTCCAACAATTACTCCAGAGCTGCTGCTCTTAATGATTATTTCTTCTGGTATCGACAAAATCCAGGAAAACAACCACAGTTTCTCATCTCTCACACATCAACAGGAACACTTTTAGCTCCAGTGTCTGGACTGTCTGCTTCCATGAGTGAGGATAAAACTCAAATGAATCTGAGGATCTCCTCTGCTGCAGTGACTGACTCTGCTGTGTACTACTGTGCTCTGCAGCCCACAGTGACAGGAAACACCAAAACTCTCTACAAAAACTCAGGCTGACACACTGACATGCTGCTGAAAGCTTATACTAACATAGTTGACTTTGTCCTTTTACCTCCACTAGAGGGCCACATCATCTCATAGGTGATGCACTAGCTCAACACTGAGTTCAGCCATTCTGTCAATATGAAGTGCTGCTGAGAAGAAAAGTTTAGTCAGACTGACAGACTGAGCAACTTCAGCTGGTTCCTCCTGTTGATTTAATCCTTGTTGTAGAGATGGATCATTGGCTGTGGATCATTCTGGCTGCTCTTTTCTTTGGTAAGAAAACTCAACATGTTTCCTCTCAACACTCTTTCTACACAGTTACACATGAACGGATCTTTATTTGGCTTCTGCAAATTTACACTGAAACCTACTGATGGTTCTCCTACAGTCTCCTGAGTTTATTGATCATCTCTTCTTCTGCTTGTTTTCTTCTTCCTCAGAGTGTAAAGGAGAAGACTCAGTGACCCAGACAGAGGGAGAAATCTATGCTTTTGAAGGACACACAGTTACACTCAACTGTACATTTGAGACAAGTAGAACAGTTCCAACATTGTTCTGGTATCGACAGGATCTTCAGGATTTCCCAAAGTACATGCTGAAATGTATCTCGGGAACAACAGAATTTGCTTCTGAGACTGACAAAGACAGATTCAATGCGACAATAAAGGGGAAATCAGTAAATCTGAAGATCCAGAACCTTCATCCGTCTGACTCTGCTGTGTACTACTGTGCTCTGAGGCCCACAGTGACAGGAAACACCAAAACTCTCTACAAAAACCATTGAAAACAAAGACCTCCAGGATATCCACCAGAGGGAGACTCTCACTCTCAGACAACAAAGATACAGTCACAAAGGAAATCCTCTTTCTGACATTAAGCTTCTGAAACCAAAGTCACTCCAGATGTTTCTTTGGCAGACAGACAACCTCTAAAAAAGGTTATTTTCTGGCCCCGCCCACTGATGCTAGAGTCAGCCAATGAGAGTCCCTCCATCTCCAGAGCAGATATGATGGCGTAACTGTGAGCTCAATCATCTCAGAGTTGAGGATTAGATCTGTGCAGCAAAGAGCTTCTCTGTGTTTTCATTCTCTATCAGAGGAAGGACACTGATCATCTGCTGTCTGTTTGACTTCAACTACTCCAAAGACATGTGTCTCTACCTCTTTTTACTTGGCTCTAATTTCATAGGTAAGTGTTAGAACAGACAGCAAACTCCAACCTCACCTGCTGCTTTCAGCAGATATTTGGTCAACATTTCACAAGCAGAGCTTGATCTGAGTAAGCTAACATTTTCAGGGACTGATAGACATTTGCTGTTTGAAGAATCTCTCAATGATCCAGGATAACAGATGAAGTAAAGGACTGTTTTTCAGTCTCTTGGTGTCAGAGTCTCTTCTAACTAACATGAATTATACTCCTTTTTCAGCCCTGGCCTCCATGAACACCATAAAACCAGTCAGCCCTGAAGAAACTGTTCAAGAGGGCACAAACATCAACCTGACCTGTACTTATGATGGTGTTATCGACAATATCCAATGGTACCGACAATACCAGAGATCCAGACCAGAGTTCCTGCTCTACATCAGAGAGGAGGGATTAATTCATCTAATTGACTCTGATTTCTCAGCTTACATTAATAAAAACAACAAACGTGTAGATCTACAGATCTCCTCTGCTGCAGTGACTGACTCTGCTGTGTACTACTGTGCTCTGAGGCCCACAGTGACAGGAAACACCAAAACTCTCTACAAAAACCATTGAAAACACAATACTCCACAACATCCACTAGAGGGAGTCACACCCTGTTAAACTTCATGTGTATGTGTTGACTTATTTGAGTTTCACGTATTCAGAAACATAAAACTGATTTATAAAATATTACACAGGTTTAGTGTTGTTTTAGATGACACAGTATAAAGATAATCAGATGTAGAGTGATCATGAGGAAGGAAATGTTCATATAACAATATTCCATCATGCATATAAAGCACATGGTCCAACAAACCCTCTGGTGGTCTTCACATGTTAAGTGTTACACTAACATTGTAAAGACATGCTCTTCACTTAACATTTTCTACATTTACAAAACCGGTCGACTGTGAGAATTTTTAAACATCCAAACGTCACAATTAATAAAAAAATCAAAGTGTCAAAAGCATGTCTGAAAAAGGGGCTGTTTATATTTTCTCTACAGGAACATTCAGGTATTGTTGGACCATATAGTTTAAAGAAAGGAACCCTTAAACACTTGAATTCATAGACTTGACCATTGATTGTTTTTAGTTCTAATTTTGAATATCTGTTAAAAAAGTTTTTTTTGTCATAAATGGCTGTGATTAATTTAAATTTAAAATGTTTGAACCAAATCTTCAGTGTAGTATTCATCTTAAATATTACAGTTCTTTTTAATTGAGTTAACTCAGTTTTTTGTAAACTACTCAACTACATTTGATCTCCTGATGTTATAGACCTTCAGACATTTTACAGACAAGCTGCTGAATGACTGTTTTCCTCACTGATTAAATAAACATTTGAAGCTCCACCAGGGGGCGACTTTATCAACGTGGAAGTACAACACCTCTGCAGAGAGTTAGACCATTGTGTGAATAATAACTGCTGCTGTGAAGAGAACACTTCTCACAGTGACTGTTGAACATCTGCTAGCCTGTCCTGTTGATTTAAACCTTGTTGTAGAGATGGAACATTGTCTCTGGATTATTTTGGCGGCTCTTTTCACTGGTAAGAAAGGATGGTTATGGTTTATCATTGAAGAAATATTCAGATAAACTGGAGTTAAAAACAGAAACTTCTTTACAGTTTAGGTCTTTAGGTCTAAAAAGTAAAGCATTACTTTCATATTTGACCCTGCATTTTCCTCTCAGCTACATGAACAACATCATGCTAATGACGTATTTTCTCCACCTTTTCCAGGACTAATAGATGGAGACAAAATCTCTCCTGTTAGAGATGAAGTCAGTGGAACAGAAGGACAACCTGTAACACTCAGGTGTAACTATGAGACAACATATGAATATGTTGACCTCCACTGGTACAGACATCAATCTGACCTCCAGGCCCCTCAGTTTATACTCTGGAAAGGAGCCAGATCTAATAGCAACAGTGAATATATTCCAAATGGACGATATGAATCTGAAACATCAAGAAGCTCAACTGAACTGACCATCAAAGAGCTAACCCTGGCAGACACAGCTCTCTACTACTGTGCTTTAGACACACAGTGATACAAAGTGTAGAAGAGGCTGTACAAAAAGCTGAACACAGATATCTGACTGCTCTTCAAAGAGGAGGGAAGTGGGATTCATACCACAGCTTCAGATCAGACGGATTCTGTTTTATCAGAGTCACTGTGGTTACAGCTGATCATCAGACACTGTGGGAGGAGCAAATACACATCCATGACAAACTGACTGGATCAACCTTGAAAAATACAGAACATTGATACAGTACATATAGTTAAATAAACTAGAAATAATAATCTTTATTTATATAGCACTTTTCAAAACAGGGTTATGAAGTGTTTTAAAGCTTATAAAGCTTGTAAAGAATAAAACACACTCAGATAACATCTTCTGTAAAAGCACATCTATAAAAATGTGTTTTTTAAAAGAGACTTAAAAGATGTTAAACAGGCTTTCATTCTTATCTCCTCAGGGAGTTTGTTCTAGGGGGTGGGGGCTCTGACAGAAAAGGCCTGGTCACCTTTAGACCTCAGCCCAGACCGAGGGATAGTGAGCAGAGCCTTGGCTGGGGACATGACGTTATGACTGGGCACATGTGGAGTGAGGAGATCAGAAGTGTACTTTGGTGCAAGACCAGAGCGTGCTTTAAGAGTCAACGATAAAATCTTAAAATCAATTCTAAAACTTCCTAGGAGCCGATGAGCTGTAACTTGTACAAACTCTGTTGGTTCAGACATTTGAACAAAGAGTTGCAGTCGTCCAAATGGGAAGAGACAAAAGCATGAATGATGATTTCCAGATTATTTCTGTATCAAAACTAACTAACTTTGGGGAGTTATCTAAGATGAGGAAAACAAGAATTCACAACTAGGTTGACCTGCTGGTTCAGACTGAGGTTTTCATCAAAAATCACACCTGTATTTTTGCATTTTGAGACAGGGAGCTGGGATGTGTCGCCATTCCTGCTGAGCTAAGACCAATAATCATTTCCTCAATTTGATCCAAATTTAGCTGCAGGAAATTCTCAGACAACCAGTATTTTTGTCTCTGATACAGTTTTTTAAAGTGGTTAAAATCATTGGGCTTAAAAGACAGGTACAGCTGGGTATCATCCACATATGAGTGAAAACTTCCATTGTGTTTGTAGATGATATGACCCAGGGGTAAAATGTAGAAAGAGAAGAATAGTGATCCAAGGACCGACCCTTAGGGAACCCCACAGGTCAGCCTCACACTGGATGATTGTGAGCTGCCTATAGCCTGTCCGGTAAAAAAGAGTGAAACCAGTTTCAAACTGAACCTGACATGCCAACCCAGTGTTGCATGTTTTCCAGTTAAATAACACGATCAATAGTAACAAAGAAAACACTAGTCTAAAATTGTCTCCAGATTTCAGTGCTTTGCATTTTATTTAGGACGGAATTTAAAGTAATTTTAAAGGCCTACAAGACATTGCTACTTGAAAATATTTGATACTTTAAATTTTGAAATCTGATACTGACTTAAAAATTCTGAAAAGATCAAATAAATTTACTTCATGAATAACCCAGAACCAAATGATGAAGGAACAAGAGACAGGCTCTGATTGGTTAAAGTTGTGAGTAGAGTGAATAACAGAGAGCTGTGAATGAGACCTGTCTCTGGGATCAGGCTCCTCCTTCTAATCCTCCAACTTAGTGCTGATGTAGACTAAACAGAGAGATCACAGCCTTCTTTAGACTTGCTGGAGCTCAGAGTTATCAACACTGCAGATATGATGTCTCTGTTGATCTCAGTGTTGCTGGCTGGTGTGTGCCTTGGTATGAACTCCACTCTGTTTCTTTGACATCAATCCAGCACTGACATCAACCTGTAACAGTCATCTAAAACTATTTGTTGTTGTTTTACAGAATGTATGGCACAAACAGACAAGGTGCTGCAACCACAAAGAGATGAGACTGCAACTGAAGGAGAGGCAGAGACACTCAACTGTCAATATACCAGCAGTTCACCGAGTAATTACCTCTTCTGGTACAAACAGGATGGAAACAACAGACCCAGATTCATCCTGAGTCGAATTACAGGAGATGAAGGAAACACACCAGAGGAGTTTAAGGAGAGATTTTCCTCCACACTGAATTCCTCCTCCAAATCAGGATCAGTTCCTCTGAAGATCGAGAACCTTCATCTGTCTGACTCTGCTGTGTACTTCTGTGCTCTGAGGCCCACAGTGACAGGAAACACCAAAACTCTCTACAAAAACCATTGAAAACACAATACTCGACAACATCCACTAGAGGGAGTCACACCCTGTTCATCTTTTCCTGGTCTGTGATGATTCAGTCTGGAGTCTTTTTTTTTCCTGAGACATTTGTGATGAAGAGCTGCAGAAACTAAACTGACATCAGTCTCTTCTTCCTGATTTCAGAGGAGCTTCATGACAGAAGAAAGTTTGGTTTGACCATCAGACTGAAAATAACTCAGAAACTTTCATCACACTCATCATTCAGTCTCAGTATCTTTCCTCTGAAGCATGGACAAACTCATTGTTATTCTGTTCTTGTCTTCTATCATGGGTATGTATGAAATTATCAGTGTCATCAAATTTTCCCACTTTAAGTAAAGACAAGTGATTTAAATGTGACATGTATTTTCTCTCCTATTTTGACAGATAATATAAATGTGATTGAGAATAACCTGACCTTTAATCTTGACTGAGTCTTTTCAGAGAATAACTGAGTTTTTCTTGTTTCCTGCAGGTGTAAACTGTGAAGATCTCACTCCAGCTCAAAATGAAGAGTCCAGTTTAGAGGGCAGCTCTGTTACTCTGTCCTACAATTACTCCAAACTATCAACTGGTGATTATTTCTACTGGTATCGTCAATATCCAGGAAAACAACCAGAGTACCTCATTCATCACCTCGCTTCAGGAGAAATAATGAAAGCAGCTAAATCTGGATTAAAGATTAAAGTGGAGCAAAAACAAATCAACATGACCATCTCCTCTGCTGCAGTGACTGACTCTGCTGTGTACTACTGTGCTCTGCAGCCCACAGTGACAGGAAACACCAAAACTCTCTACAAAAACTCAGGCTGACACACTGACATGCTGCTGAAAGCTTATACTAACATAGTTGACTTTGTCCTTTTACCTCCACTAGAGGGCCACATCATCTCATAGGTGATGCACTAGCTCAACACTGAGTTCAGCCATTCTGTCAATATGAAGTGCTGCTGAGAAGAAAAGTTTAGTCAGACTGACAGACTGAGCAACTTCAGCTGGTTCCTCCTGTTGATTTAATCCTTGTTGTAGAGATGGATCATTGGCTGTGGATCATTCTGGCTGCTCTTTTCTTTGGTAAGAAAACTCAACATGTTTCCTCTCAACACTCTTTCTACACAGTTACACATGAACGGATCTTTATTTGGCTTCTGCAAATTTACACTGAAACCTACTGATGGTTCTCCTACAGTCTCCTGAGTTTATTGATCATCTTTTCTTCTGCTTGTTTTCTTCTTCCTCAGAGTGTAAAGGAGAAGACTCAGTGACCCAGACAGAGGGAGAAATCTATGCTTTTGAAGGACACACAGTTACACTCAACTGTACATTTGAGACAAGTTATGGGAATCCCACTTTGTTCTGGTATCGACAGGATCTTCAGAATTCCCCAAAGTACATGCTGAAATCTTACTATGGAACAGTTGAAAATGCACCAGAGTTCAGCAAAGACAGATTTATAGCTGCAACAAATGAGAAACTATTTCCTCTGAAGATCCAGAACCTTCATCTGTCTGACTCTGCTGTGTACTACTGTGCTCTGAGGCCCACAGTGACAGGAAACACCAAAACTCTCTACAAAAACCATTGAAAACACAATACTCCACAACATCCACTAGAGGGAGTCACACCCTGTTACAGTGATTGACTGTGCTGCTACATTCAAGACTTTACTGTATTTAGAATAATGACAACAATGAAGGAAAATCAAACAGATTTATATTTTTCTTTCATATGACTCAAAGTAAAAAGGGAATGATGTTCAGTGAGGTAGAAAAAGTAAAATGAACATGTGAACAAAATATAATCATGCAAATAAAGAAGAAAATCCACTGACTGTTAGTTTTGTTTAATTTTCATCTAAATAAAAAGTCTCTTTTTATTTGAAGTGTCTGTGATTCTTCTCGGTGTACCTCAGGGTTTAATTCTAGGTCCTCTCATTTTAATTTTTTAAATGTTTGAATCAAATTATGAAGTGGTTCAGTTATTGCTAATGGTGGAAAGATTTTATCACAATAAACAGTGATAACGAAACCACTGACTGTTTAAATAAACATTTGAAGCTCCACCAGGGGGCGACTTTATCACTGAGGAAGTACAAGACCTCTGCAGAGAGTTAGACCATTGTGTGAATAATAACTGCTGCTGTGAAGAGAACACTTCTCACAGTGACTGTTGAACATCTGCTAGCCTGTCCTGTTGATTTAAACCTTGTTGTAGAGATGGAACATTGTCTCTGGATTATTTTGGCGGCTCTTTTCACTGGTAAGAAAGGATGGTTATGGTTTATCATTGAAGAAATATTGAGATAAACTGGAGTTAAAAACAGAAACTTCATTACAGTTTAGGTCTTTAGGTCTAAACAGTAAAGCATTACTTTCATATTTGACCCTGCATTTTCCTCTCAGCTACACGAACAACATCATTCTAATGACGTATTTTCTCCACCTTTTCCAGGACTAATAGATGGAAACAAAATCTCTCCTGTTAGAGATGAAGTCAGTGGAACAGAAGGACAACCTGTAACACTCAGGTGTGACTATGAGACAACATACGGAGATGTTCACCTCCACTGGTACAGACATCAATCTGACCTCCAGGCCCCTCAGTTTATACTCTGGAAAGGAGCCAGATCCTGGAGCAGTGAATATATTCCAAATGGACGATATGAATCTAAAACATCAAGAAGCTCAACTGAACTGACCATCAAAGAGCTAACCCTGGCAGACACAGCTCTCTACTACTGTGCTTTAGACACACAGTGATACAAAGTGTAGAAGAGGCTGTACAAAAAGCTGAACACAGATATCTGACTGCTCTTCAAAGAGGAGGGAAGTGGGATTCAAACCACAGCTTCATATCAGACGGATTCTGTTTTATCAGAGTCACTGTGGTTACAGCTGATCATCAGACACTGTGGGAGGAGCAAATACACATCCATGACAAACTGACTGGATCAACCTTTAAAAATACAGAACATTGATACAGTACATAAAGTTAAATAAACTAATAATAATAATCTTTATTTATATAGCACTTTTTAAAACAGGGTTATGAAGTGTTTTAAAGCTTATAAAGCTTGTAAAGAATAAAACACACTCAGATAACATCTTCAGTAAAAGCACTTCTGTAATAATGTGTTTTTTTAAAAGACACTTAAAAGATGTTAAACAGGCTTTCATTCTGATCTCCTCAGGGGGGTTGTTCTAGGGGGTGGGGGCTCTGACAGAAAAGGCCTGGTCACCTTTAGACCTTAGCCCAGACCGAGGGATAGTGAGCAGAGCCTTGGCTGGGGACATGACGTTATGACTGGGCACATGTGGAGTGAGGAGATCAGAAGTGTACTTTGGTGCAAGACCAGAGTGTGCTTTAAAAGTCAACGATAAAATCTTAAAATCAGTTCTAAAACTTCCTAGGAGCCGATGAGCTGTAACTTGTACAAACTCTGTTGGTTCAGACATTTGAACAAAGAGTTGCAGTCGTCCAAACAAGAAGAGATAAAAGCATGAATGATGAGCTCCAGAGTTTTTCTGCATCAAAACTATCTAATGTTGGAGGGTCTCCCAAGCTGCAGAAAACAAGAATTCACAACTAGGTCGACCTGCTGGTTCAGACTGAGGTTTTCATCAAAAATCACAACTGGATTTTGCACATGACTGTAACATTTTGAGACAGAGAGCCGGGATGTGTCGCCATTGCTGCTGAGCTTAGACCAATAATCATTTCCTCAATTTGATCCACATTTAGCTGCAGGAAATTCTCAGACAACCAGTATTTATGTCTCTGATACAGTTTTTTAAAGTGGTTAAAATCATTGGGCTTAAAAGACAAGTACAGCTGGGTATCATCCACATATGAGTGAAAACTTCCATTGTGTTTGTAGATGATATGACCCAGGGGTAAAATGTAGAAAGAGAAGAACAGTGGTCCAAGGACCGACCCTTGGGGAACCCCACAGGTCAGCCTCACACTGGATGATTGTGAGCTGCCTACAGCCTGTCCGGTAAAAAAGAGTGAAACCAGTTTCAAACTGAACCTGACATGCCAACCCAGTGTTGCATGTTTTCCAGTTAAATAACACGATCAACAGTAACAAAGAAAACACTCTAGTCTAAAAATTGTCTCCAGATTTCAAGGTGCTTTGCATTTTATTTAGGATGTAATTTAAAGTAATTTTAAAAAGCCCACAAGACATTGCTACTTGAAAATATTTGATACTTTAAATTTTGAAATCTGCAACTGACTTAAAAATTCTTAAAAGATCAAATAAATGTACTTCAGGAATAACCCAGAACCAAATGATGAAGGAACAAGAGACAGGCTCTGATTGGTTAAAGTTGTGAGTAGAGTGAATAACAGAGAGCTGTGAATGAGACCTGTCTCTGGGATCAGGCTCCTCCTTCTAATCCTCCAACTTAGTGCTGATGTAGACTAAACAGAGAGATCACAGCCTTCTTTAGACTTGCTGGAGCTCAGAGTTATCAACACTGCAGATATGATGTCTCTGTTGATCTCAGTGTTGCTGGCTGCTGTGTGCCTTGGTATGAACTCCACTCTGTTTCTTTGACATCAATCCAGCACTGACATCAACCTGTAACAGTCATCTAAAACTATTTGTTGTTGTTTTACAGAATGTATGGCACAAACAGACAAGGTGCTGCAACCACAAAGAGATGTGACTGCAACTGAAGGAGAGGCAGAGACACTCAACTGTCAATATACCAGCAGTTCAACAACTAATTACCTCTTCTGGTACAAACAGGATGGAAACAACAGACCCAGATTCATCCTGAGTCGGATTATGGGAGATGAAGGAAACACACCAGAGGAGTTTAAGGAGAGATTTTCCTCCACACTGAATTCCTCCTCCAACTCTGGATCAGTTCCTCTGAAGATCCAGAACCTTCATCTGTCTGACTCTGCTGTGTACTACTGTGCTGTGCAGCCCACAGTGACAGGAAACACCAAAACTCTCTACAAAAACCATTGAAGACACAATACTCCACAACATCCACTAGAGGGAGTCACACCCTGTTCATCTTTTCCTGGTCTGTGATGATTCAGTCTAGTCTTCTCTCTCAGGAGACATTGGTGATGAAGAGCTGCAGTCATTAATTGTTTTAACATCTAAGTCTCCTCCTCCTGACTGCAGAGGAGCTTCATGACAGAGATCTGTGTGAGTTAAGCTGAGATCATCAGACCAATCACAGCTCACCAAACTTCCTCAGTCTGATCCTTCACTTACAGCATTTCAACTCTACAAACATGGAAAAACTTTCTGTTCTTTTACTGTTTTCAGCGGTTTTAGGTTTGTATGATTCAAAGATTTTAATGATGAATAATTTATGTAACCATGAAAACAACTTTGAATATGAATTTTAATGTTGATCATGTGAAAACGTATTTAATATGACATTTTCAATATAATCTACATCTGATCAAAATAATTTATGGGAAACTTTTTCTCTTCAGGTGTCAGCTGTGAAGATCTCACTCCACTGGAGAGAGAAAAGTTCAGTTTAGAGAGCAGCTCAGTTACTCTGTCCTACAAATACTCCAGAGAAGCATCTGCTGGTGATTATTTCTTCTGGTATCGACAATATCCAGGGAAACCACCGCAGTTTCTCATCTCTCACTCAGGATCAGGAACACCCATATCAGATCCAGTCTCTAGACTGTCTTTTCAAGTGAGTGAGGATAAAATCCATATGAACCTACAGATCTCCTCTGCTGCAGTGACTGACTCTGCTGTGTACTACTGTGCTCTGCAGCCCACAGTGACAGGAAACACCAAAACTCTCTACAAAAACCATTGAAAACACAATACTCCACAACATCCACTAGAGGGAGTCACACCCTGTTCATCTTTTCCTGGTCTGTGATGATTCAGTCTAGTCTTCTCTCTCAGGAGACATTGGTGATGAAGAGCTGCAGTCATGAATTGTTTTAACATCAAAGTCTCCTACTCATGACTGCAGAGGAGCTTCATGACAGAGATCTGTGTGAGTTAAGCTGAGATCATCAGACCAATCACAGCTCACCAAACTTCCTCAGCCTGATCCTTCACTTACAGCATTTCAACTCTACAAACATGGAAAAACTTTCTGTTCTTTTACTGTTTTCAGCTGTTTTAGGTTTGTATGATTCAAAGATTTTAATGATGAATAATTTATGTAACCATGAAAACAACTTTGAATATGAATTTAAATGTTTAACATAAAAATGTATTCAATATGATACTTTCAATATAATCAACAACTACACAAAATAATTTATGGGAAACTTTTTGCCTTCAGGTGTCAGCTGTGAAGATCTCACTCCACTGGAGAAAGAAAAGTTCAGTTTAGAGGGCAGCTCTGTTACTCTGAACTACAATTACTCCAAACTATCATCTGGTGATTATTTCTACTGGTATCTTCAATATCCAGGAACACCACCACAGTTCCTAATCTCTCACTCAGGATCAGGCACACCCATATCAAATCCAGTCCCTAGACTGTCTTTTAAAGTGAGTGAGGATAAAATCCATGTGAATCTACAGATCTCCTCTGCTGCAGTGACTGACTCTGCTGTGTACTACTGTGCTGTGAGGCCCACAGTGACAGGAAACACCAAAACTCTCTACAAAAACTCAGGCTGATACACTGACATGCTGCTGAAAGCTTATACTAACATAGTTGACTTTGTCCTTTAACCTCCACTAGAGGGCCACATCATCTCATAGGTGATGCACTAGCTCAACACTGAGTTCAGCCATTCTGTCAATATGAAGTGCTGCTGAGAAGAAAAGTTTAGTCAGACTGACAGACTGAGCAACTTCAGCTGGTTCCTCCTGTTGATTTAATCCTTGTTGTAGAGATGGATCATTGGCTGTGGATCATTCTGGCTGCTCTTTTCTTTGGTAAGAAAACTCAACATGTTTCCTCTCAACACTCTTTCTACACAGTTACACATGAACTGATCTTTATTTGGCTTCTGCAAATTTACACTGAAACCTACTGATGGTTCTCCTACAGTCTCCTGAGTTTATTGATCATCTCTTCTTCTGCTTGTTTTCTTCTTCCTCAGAGTGTAAAGGAGAAGACTCAGTGACCCAGACAGAGGGAGCGATCTTTGCTTTTGAAGGACACACAGTTACACTCAACTGTACATTTGAGACAAGTAGAACAGTTCCAACATTGTTCTGGTATCGACAGGATCTTCAGGATTTCCCAGAGTACATGCTGAAATCTTACTCAGAAACAACAGAATTTGCTTCTGAGTCTGACAAAGACAGATTCAATGCGACAATTAAGGGGAAATCAGTGAATCTGGAGATCCAGAACCTTCATCTGTCTGACTCTGCTGTGTACTACTGTGCTCTGCAGCCCACAGTGACAGGAAACACCAAAGCTCTCTACAAAAACCCTCGAAAACACAATACTCCACAACATCCACTAGAGGGAGTCACACCCTGTTAAACAGAAATTCAGGACCTGTACATTTCTAGACCTGCCTTTTTATAGACATTGTGAAAAGAAAAATATGAGCAGATTTGAGCATATTCCGTTTAAGCTTAACAATGTAAATGATACATTCATGTATCAGCTAACCTGGTTAATGGTTTAATAAAATAACTAAATCCAACAAATCCTCTGATTAACATAATAATGGAGTTAATTTTGTTGTGTTTTTGTGACATGCTTTCTGCCAATCTTTATCTGTATTTGCAAAGCTGCCTGAATTTTAAATAGCTTGAATTCTAAAATTTAAGACTTGATTTAAACATTCTCAATCTCAACAATATGTCTTCATATCATCAATAAAGACACTTGAGTGTTATGATCAGTTTTTTAAGATTTATCTTATCTTATTGACCTATGTATGGACTCCTTAGCTCCAACACTAACAAGTGAGTCAGGTTATACTAGCAGAAAGCTCTCCTGTCAGACCTCCACTCCCACAAAGATTGAAAAATAGCAATCAAAATGCCCAAAAGCCAGATGCCCAAACATGTCACACAAACACATAAAACATTTGGAATCCAATGGATTCAAAGTTTAAATCCAATTTTATAAATTGATAAAATTGTAAATAATGTCAGGGCTTGAAGACCAGTTGTAAAGAACACTAATGCATGTGTGTCAATAGGTGATGTGTCTGAAAACAAGCCAATGATTGAAAAAAGTAAAGATTTGAACTCCCAATGATGGCTGACTACAAGACAGGCTCTGATTGGTTAAAGTTGTGAGTAGAGTGAATAACAGAGAGCTGTGAATGAGACCTGTCTCTGGGATCAGGCTCCTCCTTCTAATCCTCCAACTTAGTGCTGATGTAGACTAAACAGAGAGATCACAGCCTTCTTTAGACTTGCTGGAGCTCAGAGTTATCAACACTGCAGATATGATGTCTCTGTTGATCTCAGTGTTGCTGGCTGCTGTGTGCCTTGGTATGAACTCCACTCTGTTTCTTTGACATCAATCCAGCACTGACATCAACCTGTAACAGTCATCTAAAACTATTTGTTGTTGTTTTACAGAATGTATGGCACAAACAGACAACGTGCTGCAACCACAAGGAGATGAGACTGCAACTAAAGGAGAGGCAGAAACACTAAACTGTCAATATACCAGCAGTTCAACAAGTAATTATCTCTTCTGGTACAAACAGGATGGAAACAACAGACCCAGATTCATCCTGAGTCGCTTTAAAGGAGATGAAGGAAACACACCAGAGGAGTTTAAGGAGAGATTTTCCTCCACACTGAATTCCTCCTCCAACTCTGGATCAGTTCCTCTGAAGATCCAGAACCTTCATCTGTCTGACTCTGCTGTGTACTACTGTGCTCTGAGGCCCACAGTGACAGGAAACACCAAAACTCTCTACAAAAACCATTGAAGACACAATACTCCACAACATCCACTAGAGGGAGTCACACCCTGTTCATCTTTTCCTGCTCTGTGATGATTCAGTCTAGTCTTCTCTCTCAGGAGACATTGGTGATGAAGAGCTGCAGTCATGAATTGTTTTAACATCTAAGTCTCCTCCTCCTGACTGCAGAGGAGCTTCATGACAGAGATCTGTGTGAGTTAAGCTGAGATCATCAGACCAATCACAGCTCACCAAACTTCCTCAGTCTGATCCTTCACTTACAGCATTTCAACTCTACAAATATGGAAAAACTTTCTGTTCTTTTACTGTTTTCAGCCGTTTTAGGTTTGTATGATTCAAAGATTTTAATGATGAATAATTTATGTAACCATGAAAACAACTTTGAATATGAATTTTAATGTTGATCATGTGAAAACGTATTTAATATGACATTTTCAATATAATCTACATCTGATCAAAATAATTTATGGGAAACTTTTTCTCTTCAGGTGTAAGCTGTGAAGATCTCACTCCACTGGAGAAAGAAAAGTTCAGTTTAGAGAGCAGCTCAGTTACTCTGACCTACAAATACTCCAGAGAAGCATCTGCTGGTGATTATTTCTTCTGGTATCGACAATATCCAGGAACACCACCGCAGTTTCTCATCTCTCACTCAGGATCAGGAACACCCATATCAGATCCAGTCTCTAGACTGTCTTTTCAAGTGAGTGAGGATAAAATCCATATGAACCTACAGATCTCCTCTGCTGCAGTGACTGACTCTGCTGTGTACTACTGTGCTCTGAGGCCCACAGTGACAGGAAACACCAAAACTCTCTACAAAAACCATTGAAAACACAATACTCCACAACATCCACTAGAGGGAGTCACACCCTGTTCATCTTTTCCTGGTCTGTGATGATTCAGTCTGGAGTCTTTTTGCTCCTGAGACATTTGTGATGAAGAGCTGCAGAAACTAAACTGACATCAGTCTCTTCTTCCTGATTTCAGAGGAGCTTCATGACAGAAGAAAGTTTGGTTTGACCATCAGACTGAAAATAACTCAGAAACTTTCATCACACTCATCATTCAGTCTCAGTATCTTTCCTCTGAAGCATGGACAAACTCATTGTTATTCTGTTTTTGTCTTCTATCATGGGTATGTATGAAATTATCAGCGTCATCAAATTTTCCCACTTTAAGAAAAGACAAGTTATTTAAATGTGACATGTATTTTCTCTCCTATTTTGACAGATAATATAAATGTGATTGAGAATAACCTGACCTTTAATCTGGACTGAGTCTTTTCAGAGAATAACTGAGTTTTTCTTGTTTCCTGCAGGTGTAAACTGTGAAGATCTCACTCCAGCTAAAAATGAAGAGTCCAGTTTAGAGGGCAGCTCTGTTACTCTGTCCTACAACTACTCCAAACTATCATCTAGTGATTATTTCTACTGGTATCGACAATATCCAGGAAAACAACCAGAGTACCTCATTCATCACCTTGCTTCAGGAGAAATAATGAAAGAAGATAAATCTGGGTTAAAGATTACAGTGGAGCAAAAACAAATCGACATGACGATCTCCTCTGCTGCAGTGACTGACTCTGCTGTGTACTACTGTGCTGTGAAGCCCACAGTGACAGGAAACACCAAAACTCTCTACAAAAACCATTGAAAACACAATACTCCACAACATCAACCTGACCTGTACTTATGATGGTGTTATCAACAATATCCAATGGTACAGACAATACCAGAGATCCAGACCAGAGTTCCTGCTCTACATCATGGAGTACGGATTAATTCATCCAACTGACTCTGATTTCCCAGCTTACATTGATAAAGACAAAAAACGTGTAGATCTACAGATCTCCTCAGCTGCAGTGACTGACTCTGCTGTGTACTACTGTGCTCTGCAGCCCACAGTGACAGGAAACAACAAAACTCTCTACAAAAACCATTGAAAACACAATACTCCACAACATCCACTAGAGGGAGTCACATCCTGTTCATCTTTTCCTGGTCTGTGATGATTCAGTCTAGTCTTCTCTCTCAGGAGACATTGGTGATGAAGAGCTGCAGTCATGAATTGTTTTAACATCTAAGTCTCCTCCTCCTGACTGCAGAGGAGCTTCATGACAGAGATCTGTGTGAGTTAAGCTGAGATCATCAGACCAATCACAGCTCACCAAACTTCCTCAGTCTGATCCTTCACTTACAGCATTTCAACTCTACAAACATGGAAAAACTTTCTGTTCTTTTACTGTTTTCAGCTGTTTTAGGTTTGTATGATTCAAAGATTTTAATGATAAATAATTAATGTAACTATGAAAACAACTTTGAATATGAATTTAAATGTTTAACATAAAAATGTATTCAATATGATACTTTCAATATAATCAACAACTACACAAAATAATTTAGGGGAAACTTTTTCTCTTCAGGTGTCAGCTGTGAAGATCTCACTCCAACTAAAAATGAGGAGTCCGGTATAGGGGGCAGCTCTGTTACTCTGTCGTACAATTACTCCAAACTATCATCTGGTGATGATTTCTTCTGGTATCTTCAATATCCAGGAACACCACCACAGTTCCTAATCTCTCACTCAGGATCAGGCACACCCATATCAAATCCAGTCCCTAGACTGTCTTTTAAAGTGAGTGAGGATAAAATCCATGTGAATCTACAGATCTCCTCTGCTGCAGTGACTGACTCTGCTGTGTACTACTGTGCTGTGCAGCCCACAGTGACAGGAAACACCAAAACTCTCTACAAAAACTCAGGCTGACACACTGACATGCTGCTGAAAGCTTATACTAACATAGTTGACTTTGTCCTTTTACCTCCACTAGAGGGCCACATCATCTCATAGGTGATGCACTAGCTCAACACTGAGTTCAGCCATTCTGTCAATATGAAGTGCTGCTGAGAAGAAAAGTTTAGTCAGACTGACAGACTGAGCAACTTCAGCTGGTTCCTCCTGTTGATTTAATCCTTGTTGTAGAGATGGATCATTGGCTGTGGATCATTCTGGCTGCTCTTTTCTTTGGTAAGAAAACTCAACATGTTTCCTCTCAACACTCTTTCTACACAGTTACACATGAACGGATCTTTATTTGGCTTCTGCAAATTTACACTGAAACCTACTGATGGTTCTCCTACAGTCTCCTGAGTTTATTGATCATCTCTTCTTCTGCTTGTTTTCTTCTTCCTCAGAGTGTAAAGGACAAGACTCAGTGACCCAGACAGAGGGAGAAATCTTTGCTTTTGAAGGACACACAGTTACACTCAACTGTACATTTGAGATAAGCATTGGGACTCCCACTTTGTTCTGGTATCGACAGGATCTTCAGGATTTCCCAAAGTACATGCTGAAATGTATCTCAGGAACAACAATATTTGCTTCTGAGTCTGACAAAGACAGATTCAATGCGACAATAAAGGGGAAATCAGTAAATTTGGAGATCCAGAACCTTCATCCGTCTGACTCTGCTGTGTACTACTGTGCTCTGCAGCCCACAGTGACAGGAAACACCAAAACTCTCTACAAAAACCATTGAAAACACAAAACTCAACGACATCCACTAGAGGGAGTCACACCCTGTTAAACTTAATGTGTATGTGTTGACTTATTTGAGTTTCACGAATTCAGAAACATAAAACTGATTAATAAAATATTACACAGGTTTAGTGTTGTTTTAGATGACACAGTATAAAGATAATCAGATGTAGAGTGATCATGAGGAAGGAAATGTTCATATAAAAATATTCCATCATGCATATAAAGCACATGGTCCAACAAACCCTCTGGTGGTCTTTACATGTTAAGTGTTACACTAACATTGTAAAGACATGCTCTCCACTTAACATTTTCTACGTTTGCAAAACCGGTCGACTGTGAGAATTTTTAAACATCCAAACGTCACAATTAATAAAAAAATCAAAGTGTCAAAAGCATGTCTGAAAAAGGGGCTGTTTATATTTTCTCTACAGGAACATTCAGGTATTGTTGGACCATATAGTTTAAAGACAGGAACCCTTAAACACTTGAATTCATAGACTTGACCATTGATTGTTTTTAGTTCTAATTTTGAATATTTGTTATAAAAGTTTTTTTTGTCATAAATGGCTGTGATTAATTTAAATTTAAAATATTTGAACCAAATCTTCAGTGTAGTATTCATCTTAAATATTACAGTTCTTTTTAATTGAGTTAACTCAGTTTTTTGTAAACTACTCAACTACATTTGATCTCCTGCTGTTAAAGACCTTCAGACATTTTACAGACAAGCTGCTGAATGACTGTTTTCCTCACTGATTAAATAAACATTTGAAGCTCCACCAGGGGGCGACTTTATCACTGAGGAAGTACAACACCTCTGCAGAGAGTAAAACCATTGTGTGAATAATAACTGCTGCTGTGAAGAGAACACTTCTCACAGTGACTGTTGAACATCTGCTAGCCTGTCCTGTTGATTTAAACCTTGTTGTAGAGATGGAACATTGTCTCTGGATTATTTTGGCGGCTCTTTTCACTGGTAAGAAAGGATGGTTATGGTTTATCATTGAAGAAATATTCAGATAAACTGGAGTTAAAAATAGAAACTTCATTACAGTTTAGGTCTTTAGGTCTAAAAAGTAAAGCATTACTTTCATATTTGACCCTGCATTTTCCTCTCAGCTACATGAACAACATCATTCTAATGACGTATTTTCTCCACCTTTTCCAGGACTAATAGATGGAGACAAAATCTCTCCTGTTAGAGATGAAGTCAGTGGAACAGAAGGACAACCTGTAACACTCAGGTGTGACTATGAGACAACAAGTGAATATGTTCTCCTCCACTGGTACAGACATCAATCTGACCTCCAGGCCCCTCAGTTTATACTCTGGAAAGGAGCCAGATCTCATAGTGACAGTGAATATATTCCAAATGGACGATATGAATCTGAAACATCAAGAAGCTCAACTGAACTGACCATCAAAGAGCTAACCCTGGCAGACACAGCTCTCTACTACTGTGCTTTAGACACACAGTGATACAAAGTGTAGAAGAGGCTGTACAAAAAGCTGAACACAGATATCTGACTGCTCTTCAAAGAGGAGGGAAGTGGGATTCAAACCACAGCTTCATATAAGACGGATTCTGTTTTATCAGAGTCACTGTGGTTACAGCTGATCATCAGACACTGTGGGAGGAGCAAATACACATCCATGACAAACTGACTGGATCAACCTTGAAAAATACACAACATTGATACAGTACATAAAGTTAAATAAACTACTAATAATAATCTTTATTTATAGCACTTTTCAAAACAGGGTTATGAAGTGTTTTAAAGCTTATAAACCTTGTCAAGAATAAAACACACTCAGATAACATCTTCAGTAAAAGCACTTCTGTAATAATGTGTTTTTTAAAAAGACACTTAAAAGATGTTAAACAGGCTTTCATTCTGATCTCCTCAGGGGGGTTGTTCTAGGGGGTGGGGGCTCTGACAGAAAAGGCCTGGTCACCTTTAGACCTCAGCCCAGACCGAGGGATAGTGAGCAGAGCCTTGGCTGGGGACATGACGTTATGACTGGGCACATGTGGAGTGAGGAGATCAGAAGTGTACTTTGGTGCAAGACCAGAGTGTGCTTTAAAAGTCAACGATAAAATCTTAAAATCAATTCTAAAACTTCCTAGGAGCCGATGAGCTGTAACTTGTACAAACTCTGTTGGTTCAGATATTTGAACAAAGAGTTGCAGTCGTCCAAATGGGAAGAGACAAAAGCATGAATGATGATTTACAGATTATTTCTGTATCAAAACTAACTAACTTTGGGGAGTTATCTAAGATGAGGAAAACAAGAATTCACAACTAGGTTGACCTGCTGAATCAGACTGAGGTTTTCATCAAAAATCACACCTGGATTTTTGCATTTTCAGACAGAAAGCCAGGATGTGTCACCATTCCTGCTGAGCTTAGACCAATAATCATTTCCTCAATTTGATCCAAATTTAGCTGCAGGAAATTCTCAGACAACCAGTATTTATGTCTCTGATACAGTTTTTTAAAGTGGTTAAAATCATTGGGCTTAAAAGACAGGTACAGCTGGGTATCATCCACATATGAGTGAAAACTTCCATTGTGTTTGTAGATGATATGACCCAGGGGTAAAATGTAGAAGGAGAAGAACAGTGATCCAAGGACCGACCCTTGGGGAACCCCACAGGTCAGCCTCATACTGGATGATTGTGAGCTGCCTACAGCCTGTCTGGTAAAAAAGAGTGAAACCAGTTTCAAACTGAACCTGACATGCCAACCCAGTGTTGCATGTTTTCCAGTTAAATAACACGATCAACAGTAACAAAGAAAACACTCTAGTCTAAAATTGTCTCCAGATTTCAAGGTGCTTTGCATTTTATTTAGGACAGAATTTAAAGTAATTTTAAAAAGCCTATAAGATATTGCTACTTGAAAATATTTGATACTTTAAATTTTGAAATCTGCAACTGACCTTCAAATTCATAAAAGATCAAATAAATTTACTTAATGAATAACCAAGAACCAAATGATGAAGGAACAAGAGACAGGCTCTGATTGGTTAAAGTTGTGAGTAGAGTGAATAACAGAGAGCTGTGAATGAGACCTGTCTCTGGGATCAGGCTCCTCCTTCTAATCCTCCAA